CGTATATGTCACTATTAACATAAATGTTAACATAAATATTTTAATATTATCTTTTTAATAAATCTGTAAAATATAAAGAAATGTAGGCATTCATCATAATTTCTAATTCATAAACAATTTTTTATTTTCACAGATCATAGCTTACTTTTTTTTTTGTATAAAAAAAAAAAATAATAAAAATATACAACTTTTTAAATTTTGTTTATACGAATTATTAAACCGTAATTACAATAGTATTACTTTGTTAAATCATAATTTAAACATTACCTCTACTATGTGTATCTCCATTAAAACATATTATTAAACATTACTTGTACAACCATTTTCATTATTATTATCATAATTAAAGCTTAAACTACATTTTTACTTTTAAATATATTATTTTTCTTAGTTGCATGCATCTTTAAAAATACTACATTTCATATGCACACAATTTCAGTTAATTATCTTCTCTTTACTTAAAATTAACTATTACAAAGTAAATGTATTAAATTTCATTTTAATGAAATTATTTTTAATTCCCATATTATTATTAATTTTATATATCTATGAAATATCCATAATTTTTTCAATAAAAAATTATATCTCCAGAATTAATTATTATTTTAATTTATTTGAAATTTTTTTTTTCATTCATATTTTGCTATATTTTATTTTATTTTATTTTAATATTTATTCTATTTTTATTTTATATTATTCTTTTTTTCTTCTTTAATATTTTTTTTTTTTTTTTTATAATGTTTTTTATTTCTTTTAATTTTGAAAAGTATTTAAATCATTAAATTATTGTTATGTCATTATTTCTAAAGCTTTTGCATGCAAAAAACTTCAAAATATTTCTAATTATTATAGATCATTACTGACATAAAAACATCAATATCTTTATAACATACTTCTATTAGTAAAATTCCAAGTGCATTATTAATATAAATTTTATTACAAATGTTATATGTAGAATGATATAAATTTTATTAATAAATTTATATTAAATAGAATTAAACTATTAATAGATTTAGTTTATTCTTAATAAAAATTTATATTAGGATTAGTTTATTTACTTCAATATAATTATATACATATTATAATTTGATTATAATGGATTTTAAAATATACGTCATTCTTATTTTAGATCAATTTTTTTCCTTTTAAAATTTGATTTTATTTAAATCATTTTATTTTTATATTTAATATGTTTTGTTTTATTCATTAAAAAAAAAAAAAAAAAAAACAATAATCTATCAAACATAATTTACGTTCATTTTACTAGTTTCTAAAATCTGTTAGGTATCTAATAAATATATTATAGTTAGATAAATTTACTTAATTATTCTACTGTTCAAAATTTAGAAAAATAAAAAGAATTTGTTTTAATGAAAAAAATTGAATGAAATGTAAATGTATTTCAAAATAGATGGTTTTTTGTTGTATTAAGTTTTTAGATAAAATAATATTGTTAAAAATGTTCAATTTTTCTTAAAAAATTAAAAGAATTAATGTTTCATAAATATAATTGTTATTTTAAATTGAAAGAAATAATATCATTATCTATTTATTTATTTTTTTTTTTTTTTCTTTTTTTTATTTATTTAAAAAGCTTAAAAATTGATAATGGCTGAAAATGCTATATTATATGCATATACCATTGGTCATAAAGCTAAACATTATAATATTTTTAAAAATGATGACGAAAATATAGGAACTGGAATTGTTTTAATGGCATTAGTCTTTCTAATTATTATTTATTTTATCTTTATTATAACTCGTGGCGTAAGATGAAATTTTTAATTAAAAATTCATATACATTTTTAATTTTTTTAAATTAATTAATTTAAAATTTTACTATTAAAAAAAATACACTTTTAAATAATTTTAAATTTCTATTATAGCTTAAACGTCATAATTTCAAGATAAAGAACAAAGACCCTAATTACAAGAGAAAGATCGTTGACCCCGATAAGGAAACGCTACTTCAATTAATGGAAGAAGGAAGCTTGCGTTAGAATTCTAATTAAGCATCGACATACTTGTAATTAATAAAATATGAATCTTTAGTTGAACATATATAGGATGTTTTTTAAGAAATTATATAATTTGTTATGAAAAAATATGATACCTTAATAATAAGAGTTTATTATGTTATCAATGTAACATACCCAGAACCATTATAATTATAATTAGCTAATTTATTGTAACTATTCCAATTACTGCTAACTTTATATAAATAATTATTATAATCATAATAATGAATATTTTTAATTTGAGTTAATGCATTAGGATTGTTGTTATTATCATATAATTAATAACTAATTGTCATTATTCTGTATTTGTAATATGGAGAATATATTTATTAATTTTCAAAAGAGCAGAATTATCTATTGTATTTATATATGTATATATATACCAAAGATAATATCAAAGTATATAAGAAAGCTTATTATTTCTACATTGTATTTTATTTCATTTCCTTAACATTCACAAAAAAAAAGATCAAAAATTAAAGAAAATTTTAAAGGTTGAATTTTTATGGTGTACCTAAATTATTTCTTAATACTATTTTAGATTTTGTGATACTTCTTATTTCATATTTTTTGAACTTTTAACAATATTTAATTTTTTAATGTTTAATTTTTTATGTAATATATCTTTGAATTTTTTATTTACATTGATTTAAATATTTTTTCTTTGTGAATAAAAAGTAGCAATATGATTATATTTTTTATTTAATTAAATCCTTTTTGACTATAAAAATTTTAATTTCCATTTTAATTTATTATTCTTCTTTGGGTTTTTTTTTTATTATTATTATTTATTCTATAATATATTATGTTTTTTCTTTTTTTATCATTTTTATTATATAACAAAATGTATTTAATTAAATTTTTTAAAGACTTCTTATGCTATTAACCAATGTTTTATACATTTTTTTTTCTTTTAAATTTTTTGATATACTATTCTTTATTCTTCATTATTGATAAAAATACTATTATCTTAAGACTTCTGAATTATAAATTTATAATACAAATTAATTAAATCCTATTTGATAACAGAAAAAAGTCATTTAATTATTTTTCAAGTTCTTAGAACTTTATACAGTTGGATAAATTTTAAATTTCAAAATTTTTGTATTTTAAAGTATTTCTTTTCTTTTTTAATTTTTTTTATTTCTTAAAAAATAAGTATCTATAGATTACAAAAAAAACATTACATGTTATTTTACATTTAAACTTCTTTTTTTATATACTTTATATGGTTACAAGAAATATATGTTATTTAATATTATTTTGTAAAGATCAAAAATAATCCTAAATATAAGATTAAAAAATAGCTAATTCAATTATATTTAACTAATATTTAAAAAAAGAAAACTTTAAATTACAATGAAAGCATTATTATAGGTATTGTATTTAGGAATATATATTTCTATTGTTTATATAAAAACATAACTAAAATCTATTTTTGGAATTCTTCATATATATATTTTAGTGTGTTATATATAGGTAAAAACTATTAAAGTAGAACAGAAAAAAAGTTTTCATGTATGTATGTAAAAAAATGAGTTGTAAAATGCATTTAGAGATAAAAAGGTTATAAAGTTATTTAACTTCATAAAAGATCATATAGTACATATTTTTGGAAGATAAATAAATAGATTGTATTAAAAGTAAGTATTACTAAAAAGTGCATGTTGTTTGTACTACGAAAAAAATATTAATATTTTTTAATTAAAATAACTAATTTATGATGAAAATATTTACTTGTAAGGATATATAAAACATGCTAAAAATAAATAGAATAATCATATATACATAAAACATAAGTTTAAAAACATGAATTATATTATTTAAAGGAATATAATAAAACAAACACATTTTTGCTGCAATTTCCTAATGTAATTATTTATATGTTTTTCTTGGTACTATATAGATATTATTTGTAGATAGAAATTTAAGATCATTTAAATTATTTTTACACGTTAATACATAAAAAATAAGAAAAAAATATTATATGTATAATGTAAATATAACTTTTTTTTTTTTTCTTTTCTTTAAAAAAAATTAGAACTTTTATATATTTTTAAAAGCTTCAAACTTAGCTTAAATTGGATATAATAATCATTTCTTCTTGCATATTTTCACCGAGTGTAATCATTACATATTTGAAATGCATACATAAATCTTAAGCATAAAAAAAAAATCAATAATATTTATTTTTTGCTGAATTTTTTCTATAGATTAAAAATTATGTAATCCATTTTTTAAAATTGATCTTTTTTTTTGATTATCATTCAAAGGTTTTATATTATTTTAAGAAAGAGGTATTATGTATTTTTAAGTATTTTTTTTTGTTGATATATTTTTCTATATTTCTAATAGAAAAAAAAAAAAATAAATTAATTAAAAGATATTTCAACAAAAGATTTTCTTTATATCTTCAAAGTTATAAGGAAATCAATAAAAATAACTTTAGAAAAATTGATTTATTTGATATTATTATTCTTTAGGACTACAAAATTTTAATTTCATATAACATGATTCGTTAACTAATGAATTAAGAAAATCAGTATTCCTTTCAATCTAACTGTGTATTTCTGAAGGTGTTCATTCTTATCATAAAAATATTTTGAAATTAATAATTAAAACAAGAAATAAAATATTTTATTGAAATATAAGTAAACATTTTTATATTTCGTTGATATAAGATAAAAAAACGTTTTAATCTACTAATTTAACATTAGTTTATAAAAAAATTTTATTATTGTTAATACAAAAAAAAAAAGTAATAAATTAAAAAAAACTAGTTATAATAAGTAATGTATTATTAAATTTTAAAATATATAAAATAATGTTATATATATGTATGAAAAAAAAAAAAGCAAGAAAAAGATTCTTTTTGTTTTAAAAGGATTATAAAAAAAAAAATGTAAAACCTAGTAACAATAAGAAATGAATATTTTATTTTCATGTAAATCCGAAAAAAAAAAATACAATATCATATATTTGTTATGTGATTAGATGAACTGAAGTATTTAATATATATTGCAATTCATTCATTATATCACCATATTCAGAATAATTATGTTTCTTGTATTTCTCTACCATTCGTTCGCAAAAAGTAATCCTTAAAAATAATTTATTTATATTATAAATGATGCTCATTATATTGATTTTGATCATAATGTAATTATAAAAGAATAGAAGAGTTTCTCCTGATTTTACGCGAGGATAATATGCTTCTAAATCTCTAAAATGATTATGGAAGTCATTACATAACTTTGAATTGTGTTCTAGAAATTCTAGAATATTTATATACATGTTTAAATTACTAGATATAAAAAATAATTCTTCATATGTGTATCTTTTCCTTTTTAGAATTTTTTCATATAATGGTTTAGCAAATTCTATGCAATAACTAAGTATATAAAATATACATGAAATTATAATATTATCTCTACTTAGAAGTTTGTCATCTAAACTTATTTTATTAAGAAAGTTTGAAATTCCGTCATTAATCACATCAATTTTAACATTATAACCAATTGTAATTCTCTGCATAAGATTTATATTTCTTTCAGCATATGAAATAATTCGATTTAATTTAGCATATTCATCTTCAGTGAAATATCTAAATCTTTTATTTGCCCTTAATCTCTCTAAAAAATTAATAATTCTAACATTTTCTTTATGTATTAAACTGGAATCACGTTCATTAAAGTCACAAATTTCAGGATTATCACTTTCCAAATACAAAGTAATAAGGGTAGGAATTTTCGATAAAATATTTTGTAAAGTGCACTTTGAATTGAGAAAAGACAAAATTTGAATATTGTATGGTAGATAATTAATATTTTTCATATAATACATTATAGGAACTTTTTCAAGAGGTAAATTTCCTACATATGTTTCATTTAAAAATTTATATAAATTAATACTCATAAAATTATCAAAGAATAATGTGTCATTTAATTCTAATTTATTAGCAGCATTTAAATTTTTAAACTCTGTTCCAAAAGGTTTTTCCATATTTGTAAAATTAATTTTAGAACCCAAATATATCGGAAATTCTTCATTCAGGCCTTTAGCATGCTCTTTTCTAATCCCAAATGCTAAAAACTTCTCAATGAATGAATTATTAAGATTTTCATTTACTTTATTTAATGCTGTAATTACTACTTCAAACTCTTTTAATTCTTCTTTATTTACTGATAAAGAATTTTCTTGTGGTATCTTTTGTAAGCGTAATACATCTTTAATTAACTTTCTACTTGGTATCTCATCCTCTTTTTGTTTGTTCTCTACGCGTTTTTTAGAACGTTTTTTATTTTTTCTAATATTATTCTTTTTTTTAAATGTATTTTCAACCTGGTTAGATTCTATTTCATCCGTTGATTCTTTTTCACATCCTCCAACGGCTCCCATTTCTTTTAATTCCTCACTTTTAGGACTTTCAGAAGAATGGTCTGTATCTTCTACGACTTCTGTTGTACTTTCATTATCATGAATATCATCTGTACTATTTGATTTTAATGCATGTTTTGCAAATTCTTCAGATAGTGATATTTTTTTTATACATTTATTTATGTGAGATTGCGCATGAAAATAAAATAATAATATTGATATTCTGTAGAAATAATTCATATTTTCTATTATACAAAAATAAAATAATAATTTAAAAGTTAAAAAAACTAAAATTTAAAATTTTCTTAACCCAAGTTAGTCCATTTATCATATATAATTGGAATAATCAATCATTAGTTAGAATTATAATATTATAAAAACAATGTTTAATCATTATTAAAATAAAAATTAAAGCAAATATTTTTTGTGAATAATCATGGAAATAAAATATCTTTCTTAAATATAATGAATTTTACAAAAGTTTAATAAATTTAGTACATTTTTATTTGTTTCAGAATTTTTCTAACAAAATATTTTTCTATTAACATATATAAACGTTTTGTTTTGCACCTTTTGAGCACCATTTATTTTAGATATAATACTTTATTATATTTTTATTGCGTTTTTTTTTTTTTTTGTAATTTACATCATTTTGAATATATTTTTATTTAGAAAAATCATTTTAAAAAATTAAATAATTAGATGTTTTTACATTAGTAAAAAATATTTATAAAAAACTAACGGAAAAAAAGATTAATTTATATTATTAATATTAAAAATAAATGGACCTTTATAAATGTTAATTTAAAAAATTATTCGATAAATTCAAAGATCATATATTAAATTTAAAGAAATAGTCATTGAAAATAAGAGATTAATAACAATGTTGATAATTTAACTTTTAAATTTTTGTTACATTAAATTTAAGGTATATTTTTTTTTTTTAAATAGAAACATTAATTATAAGTTCAGTCTGTAATATGAATTAGTAGTCGTAATAAAAAACGAGACAATACATATTCATATTTTTAGCTTAAAATACAAATCTTTTTTATTATTCTATTTAAAAGAATTGAGGTTTTATTCATTTTTTGAATCATAGAAAAAACCCTTTTTCTAATGATGCTATAAATTTGACTCTTATAAATTTACTCCATAAGAATTTTTTTAGAAAAAAGTATCAATGCACTTTTTTGTTTTCTTTTTTTTTTAATGCAACTCATATAAAAATTTTTAGTTTTTAAATAATCTTTTAAAGGAAAAATACTTTAATAGAGTAAATATATTTTTATTATGAATTCAAAAATTTTTGTTAATATATAAAAAGATAATAATTCACAATAGAAAAAAGCAATATTTATTATTTTAGTAATAATAATAATACTTTGATAATTAAATATTCCTTAACGATAAACCTAAATAAAAAATTTTAATTTTTAGATAAATTTCTTGTTTGAAATTCAAATAAAAACATCTAAAAGAAAAATTAAAAGAATTAAAAAACATTCTTAATATTTCTAAAAAATGTAAAGAAAAATTATTTGTTACTCATAATATAGTTTTATGGAAAATGTCTTATATTTTCCTTAAATTTAAAAAAAAATTATATATTTAATAAGATACAAATTATTACAAAAAGTTATTTTTCTAAAATATTTTTAAAATAATAATAACAATAATAGTTATTATTAGGGCATAATAAAATTTGAAAGCCACTTAAATTATATAAAAGATAACATAAATATTCTTTAATTTAAAATATATTATTAATCTAAAAAAAAAAAGAAAATTGCCTTCCTATTAAAATGAAAATTATTGAATTAACTGTTATTATTTTATTAAAGAAATATAAAACTTAAGAAAATTAATTAAAAATAATACATAAAAGTACTTAAAATTTATAAAAACTAACATATATAATAATTTTACAATTCAAAAATAATTATTGTAATTTTTATATTAATTTTTTTTTTTTTTTGTTTTTATTCTAATATATAATATTTCATACATTAATTATCATAATTTCAATACTCAAATTATTTATACAAAAAATTTTAATACAAAATATTATGTATTATGTAAAAATATTTATACAGCTAAAATAAAAGAAACTCATAAAATATAATAAAGAAAAACAAATATCACTAGAATAAACTCGCAAAAAATTTATAAATAATTTGTTTATTATAATTAAATATAAAATTTTTGTATGTCAAAATAGTTTATAAAGATAAAATATAATATTTAAAAGAACTAGAATGGATAATATAATACAAAAAAAATGAAAAATAATAAAAAAAAATAAAAACTCATATTAAATTAAACCAATATGTCCATGATGAATATCTACTTAATTTTCTTTGAATTACTAAAACAATATAGAAAAAAAAATAAATATAAATTATTTTCTTTAAAATAACAAAGTAATTGTATAAAATTATACCTAAGTATTCATAACTAGAATTTTTACACAATAATAATAATGATAATATGAATTTTCTAAGAGTACCTCAATTTTTTTTCTTTTTTTTTTATTTACATAATAGAAGTGCAAATCTTAGTATGCTGTTAAAAGTTTTTTTACGCCTTCGATGATTTTAAAAGTTAATAAATTATAAAAAAGGATTGCTTGTATTTATATTAATTCACTAAACAATTAGCTAATTGAAAAAATTTCAAAGAAACAAAATTATAATTTTTTTTGAAGGAAATATCTTTTGTTGGTATTTTCATTTAAACAAAAAAAAAAATAAATGAATAATTTTTTTTTGATATAAATAGCCTTTTTTTAAAAGTTATAATTTTTTTTCTTATGATTTCTTTTAATGCGTGTTTAGTGAGTGCAAAAATTATTTATATTCACATTTAATAAAATAAAAATATTTAAATAAAATATTTGTATTTGTTAGTAACTTCATTTTTTTCGTTATATTAAAATAACATATAAAATCATGTATAAGTGTTATATTTAAATGTTTCAATTTAACTCTTGATTTAATTGTAAAAGTGTAAAATACACAATTAAGTAAACCATTATAAATGAAAATTATCATCTTATTAACAAAAAATATACTTTTATTAAAGTAACATAAAAAATATAAAGATATATTAAAATAAAAAATAAAAGCTACAAGACTATATTTTTTTTGGGGTGGATAATTTTCTTACTTCATGTAATTTTTTCTATACTTATGTTATACATTTTGAAAAATATAAAGCATTAAAAAAAAATATCTAATAGATTTAATATATAAATCTCAAAAATAAAAAATATTCTTATCTAATATAAAATATGTTACATAAATAATATTGAATTATTTTATTCTATAAGTATTTCTTCTAAATTATTAAATAAAATAACACTGCTATGAATAAATGATTTATTAGCATATACAATTTTTCATTTAGTAGATAAGTATAAAAATAAAATAATTTCATAGTTGATAATATACTAGCAAATTCCTGAATAAATTATTATTTGTAATAATAAAGAGTTTCAATTAATAATCAATTAAACTTCTTTTTTAATATATAAAAAAATGAATAGTTTTCTATAGAACAAATATTTCATTTTATATAAATAAATAAGATAGAACAAATATTTCATTTTATATAAATAAATAAGCAAACTATTATACGTTAACACACAACAATAATTAAAAGTTTAAACATAATTATGTACCATAATAAAATACCAATCATTAAATTCAGTTTGAAAGAAAAAAAAAAAAAAATAATAGAAAATATATAATAAGGGCATATCATAGTAATAATTACTTTATAAATAGAAATTATTTTCATTCTATATTTATTTTTTAATATATATCTTTATTTTATTCAAACATATATTAATTTAATATATTATTTATCCTTCTCTTTCTTTTTTTCCTTTTAACCAAATCATAAATAGATCATTAATGCTAAATTATAACTCCTACTAAAAATTCTATTTCTATTTGAAAAATAAAGGGATCTTATTATTACATCAAAATTAAATGAGATAATTCATGATATTCTTTTATTTTTCATCCTCAATACGTACTTCACAAAACTTTTCATCGTTATTTTCTGTTTTCTTTTTCCTTATTCTTTTTCCTGTCCTTAATGTTTCTTGTTCTTCGGTTAGTTCTTGTATTAACCTTTGTTGTATGTCAGGATTATCATCTTTTTTTTTTCTTCTTTTTCCCTTTTTACCTTCCTTATTTTCATCTCCATCATCTAAATTATCTTCTTTATCATTTGAATCTTCCTTTTTTATTGGCTTCATTTCTATGTCATCTAATTTATTCTTTCTGCTACAACATTCAGGATTATCTTTTTTTACCTAAAACATATTTTAAAAATTGAATAAAGAAATTTTTTACTTATATTAATATAATTATTAGTGAATATTTAAAATTAAAGAAAAAATATATATATATTTTTAAGTTTTAATTTTTTATTACATGAGCGCCCAAATTAGCCCATGCTAGGAATCCGAGTATGCATAATGTAATAAAAAAAATAATAACAGGGGTTACATTCATTTCCTTCACTACGCCATCTGAATCATTCCCACCAAGAATTTGAGTGGTATTGTTAGCTGTAGTAACTAAATTATTTAATGTAGTACCATTAAATGAAAATAAAGAACTTGATGTATTATTTATTGTAGATGTATCATATAATGGTGTAGTTGCTTGAGTCGTTAAGGTATTGCCTAGGTTACTTGTAGTCAAATCAGACAAAGTGGTATTTGATGTTAATGCTTGAGATATATTTTCTTTAATTGTAGTTGATAAATAATTAGTAAACTTACTTGCTTGTTCAGTTAAAACGCTAGTTGTAGCTGAACTAGTTGCACCTTCAGTAACTCTACTTGTTAAAGAATGTGTAGCGCTTTCTAAAGTTGAATTAGGTGAAGTGGAATTTGGTGTAAGTGCTTCAGATATAGTACTACTAATTGTAGATGATAAATAATCAGTAAAATTTTTTGCTTCACTTAAAAAGCTAGTTGTTGTAGGTGAACTAGTTGCATTTTCAGCAACTCCACTTGTTAAAATATGTGTAGCGCTTTCTAAAGTTGAACTAGGTGAAGTGGTGTTTGATGAAGTTAAATTACTTAAATGTGTAGTTACTTGAGAAAGTAAAGAACTACTACTAGTTTGTGCAGATGAGACTAATGATCCAAGTGATTCAGTTAAACTTGATAAAGTTGTATTTGCTTGACTTGTAGATTCAAGTGTACTTAAAGAAGGTACTTCTGTTGACATTTCAGTAAGTAGCCTAGTAGTTAAATTATTCGTTGTGTTCCAGGCATAACTTTCAGTACTGTTTTGTCCATTCATGTTTTTTAAATATAAAAGATAAGTTTCCTAGTAAACAGAAATATTAATTTTTTCTTATAATTTTATAATACTAGAAATATTTTTAGATAATGTTGGTGTTTATAATTCTTTGAATAAGCAAAATGATGTGATAATCTGGATTAAAACTTTGAATGAAGAAAAAGAATAATTTAATATATAAATAGCTTCTCTTTTAAAGAAACAATGTTTGAAAACTGTTAGTCTTAAATCATCTAAATGGCATATATCTTCTAATATAGGTAAAATTATAACGTACGGTTAATTTTAAAAAATGTAGAATCAAATATTAGTTATTATTTTATAGTCACGAAACTTTTCTTTTAATAATTTATTTTAAAAAAAAAGTGTGACCATATATTTAAAAAAAAAAATTAAATATATAACTATGATTTCTAATTAAATACGATTGATACCTAGAAACATTTATTAATTAAGAAACATATCCCTTCAAATATAACTTTTCTGTAATGTATTTATTGAACAAATATGAAATGACAATAAAAATTTCTCTCATATAACATATAAAACTAAATTGCACTATATATTTTAAAATTTTAATGTTTTTTTTAAAAATTTATATGAATAAAAATAAAAAAAAATGTAAATCGGTAAAATAAGCTTCTATCTTCTGTAACTAATATTATTTAATTCTTATATACAAATAGAATTTACGTTTGCACATTATTTTTAATTATAAAAATAAAAAATATAAAAATAGTTTTATGATATTTATAGTATTCTTTTGTATATATATGATTTTCTAATTATATTTATTGTATAAAATTAAAGAAAACAATTTTTTTATTATGCACTTTAAACACTACCTTTTACTTAAATAATCCCGTTGATTTCCTTTTTTTCTGGAGTGTAAGATACTTTTTCTATTTATACTTTGATTTTTTCTACTTTTTTTAATTAAAAAAAAAAAAATCTTTATATATTTTTTTTTTTTTTAAAGGATGCATGAAAAAAAATTTATAGAAGAAATATTAATAATAATGGATAATTTATTTTTGTTTTCTTCTTTTTAAAAAATTATTTACATATAAATTAAATCTCTCATAATTATAAAAATCATTTGTTCTTAAATGAAATTTTTTTTTAAAAGCTTATAACCAATAAATTTTAATCGTTTAGTTTATCTCTAGTATTATTCATGCAGATACATGTGGTATTAATAATTTAAGTGTTCTAAAGACACTAAAAACCTATTAAAAATATATTAAATATAAACCATAGAATATTTAATTAAGTATATTTTTTATTTAAAATGAATAATTTTCTATTATTTCTCTATATTTATTAATATTTTAATTATTATAATTATATGCTTTTTTTAATTTATTTTGTCATTATTTATTATACTTTATTCATAACTCCACTTTTTATTCAAATGATCGATATATTCGATTTTTTCCGTTTAATGTTTAAAATGTTATTTTTGATGTCTTTTAATTTTTTATTTTATATAATTCCTTTAAAAATTTTATTAATGATAAAATATTTTTAATTAGCATGCATTTTATTTTTGTTTTTTATTAATAGAGTTTCATTTAATCTTATGAGTTTGAAAAAAAGTATTACAAGAATAAGTATACAAAATAAATGAAAACATTTTTTACATTATATTCTAATAAAATTCTCAAAAGATATATAATATTAATAATTTGTTTTTTTCATGAGAACTGTTGTGTTAATTTAAGTAATAAAAATAAGTACCTCAAAATGATGAAAATTGTTTTTTTTATTTTATTCGACACTCATATTTTTTAAGAATCTTATAGAAAAAGCAAATTTTTTATATTTTCTTTCTAGCTATATATACACGTATGTATTTATAAGTGGATTTTTTACCACATAAGGAATATTTAGTGCTATGTAATAATTTAAAATATCATGCTTAAATAAGTACTTTTATTTAAACATTCAAAAAGCAATATAAATATCCTCTAAAAAGAAAATAAATAATAAATTATGATATTATAACACCATCAAATAAATTATAATGATTTAGTTTAGTTATTTTTCAATAAATTTCTTTTTAGTTGCATTATTTATGTATTCAAAATATATTTATTTCAAATTTCTACATATTAATTGATACTCCTATATGTTAATATTAACTAATTTCATTAATTTTTTATAAATTATAATGTGCATTATTCACTTGTATTGTCTGTTCATCCCATCAAATATTAATGGTCTTTTTTATATTTCACCATTTTTAAATTTAAATAATTCCATAAAATATATAGTATTTTTTTTATATATAATTCTATAATTGTTTAAATTTTTCTAATTTTACATAGTATAAAATTTTGGTGTATATTTACCTACTATTTAAATGATTTTTATTATATTTTTTTTTATTTTTAACAATTTTAAATATATGAATTAGAATTAAGTATTAACAGAGAATAAGAAATTTTCCTTATTTTTTTAAATAGATTAGAATAATTAATGCAGTATCATCTAATAAATATTATATGAACATAAAAAAATTATATGAATGTTTATTTATTACTCTACTTTTTTCTTTTCTAAGTAGTAAAAAATCTTGTTCACTTAATGTTCAAATTTTAAAAATTGCATTTTCTTTTAGAATAAAGAATAATTAATTTTAATAATTATGTAGAAGTGTCAAAAATAATTTAAATACTTGAAATACTAAAAAATATACTAGAATGAATTATTCAAATAAACATGCTTAAAATAAAAAAAATAGCTACATTTTATAAAAATAAGATAAAAATTTTAAAATAATAAATACAAAATAGTAGAACATGTAACATAATAAAATAAAAGATTTAACTAAGTTTTTCCCATAATGATAAAATAAGAAAAAGGTTTCTATTAATAATTTTTTATTTAAATAACAATTCTAATTTTTTTATAAAAAAAACACATGCTAAATTTATCTTATATTAAACATTCAATAAGAAAATGAGCCACTCACCTTTTTATGTACATAAGTGATTTATTAACTGGGTGTTCGGTGAATTTACTGGAGTACTGAACAAACCAATTAATAAAGAGCATGTAGAGGTGTCTCTACGATTTTGATGTATTTATATGTATCTTTAATATGCTTTGAATGAGTAACTCTTAACTATGTGTTCTACTTCGTTCAACATTCTTTACTTTCAATAGGCATTCATTTATTTTAATAAAAATCTTTATTTTTATTAAAAATTTAAATCCATATTGAATATTGACTAATAATTAAATGTAACTTAATTATCTCTTTGTTGTAAGTTATATTCAGCAATTTACATATATTGCTGTTGAATTAGCAAACATAAACAATTATTAAAAATGCAAATAAATTATATGAATATTAATTACGTGAAAATTTTATATTCATATGTATAAAATTTTCTCTCATAAATTCAAAATATAAATATTATACAAATTAAACGCTTTACAAAAACATTATTATCTTTTGTAAAAAAAAATCTCTCTCTCAATTAAAAAAAAAAAAAATTAAATCTTTTTATTTTTTTTTTTTATTTTTATCTTTATCTTTTTCGAAAGAAACATTTCTCAAAAAAAAATTCCAATAATTTTTTTTTTTTTTTTTTTTTTTTTTTTTTAGTTAGCACAACTAACTATGTATTCTCCACATAGCTAGTCCTTTTATAGCCAAAAAGGTTAATGAAGCCTTTTATTAACCAATAAGCTAAGTAATAAATCAAAAGGTATTAACGACACCCGTGAAACGTTTTGAGAAGGAAATAATAAATCAGCTAGATAAATCTAATTATTTTATAAAAATATATATATATATATTTTTTTTTTATTAAATCACATCTTATGTTTTGTTATTTTAATTAAATCTTATTAAAAGTTATATTAATGTAACAATAGAAATAAAAATATTAAAATTTAATATATTTTTTTAATATAATATATTTTAATAACAGGAAAAGTATTTATGCTAGCTACGAGTGATAAATAGTGCATAACTGTTATAATTAAATAGGTAAGTTAAATTAACAGTTAAATTAGACTTAATAGTCTAGAACAAGAAATATTAACTATTCAGATATATGCATTATTTTTTTTAATTTTACTTTTTTCTCAAAATATCTTTAAAAATATTTAAAAAATATTAATATTCCATTAAATTTCTACCCTATTGAAAAAAAAAAAATTATATATTTAAAAATGTATTGTGATCTAAGTTATATTAAAATGAATAAAAAAAGAATAAAAATATGCATGCATATATTAAAAATGTGTTTTTAAGTGAATTTAAAAAATATTTTGAATATATGGTTATTAAAATTTAAAAAATCTCAACTTTCAGAATAAATAATACTTAAGTTCAACTATTTATATATTTATTTTAAATTTTTTTAACTCTTTTAAATACTAATGTTGAAAATAAAAAATAAAAATATATCATATATATGAAAGAAAAAAAAGGTACAATAAAATAAAATTGTACTAAATATTTATTAGCTTTTTTTTTATATATAAAATTTCTAATTTTATTTTTCTTTTTAAATCATAATTAAAATAAAACATTTTATAAAAAAATTATGAATTATTCATAAATAATTTTTATCTTTTTTTTTTAATTTATGAAAATTTTTTTATATATAAATTTCTTCAATAATAAAACTTTATTTCTTCTTAAAGAATTGATTTAATAATGATATATTCAAATACTTCTGCAATGTTTTAAATAAGTATGTTAATAGAGAATATTTAGAAGGATCTAAACTTGTTTAATATATCATAACAACACTTATTATAGATTATTATATATTCTTTATATAATTCTACTATTTATTATAAAAAAAAATAATTTATTTTATATTGAACCTAAAATTCTTGAACTAGTGATATGTTAAAGATAAGAATAAAACTATTCTTAATATATTAAGTGTGTAACAATGTTCAAACAATTTTACGAAGGAATATATCTACATGTAAAAACTTAAATACTCTATATCTAAAAAAAATTATATATTAAATGAACATACTATCTTTTTTAATTCTCCAAAAAAAATTATGAAAGTATTTTTTTATCACAATTTATACATATATATACACATAAAAAAAATAAATTCATTCTCTAATAAAATATCCCTTTTTATATGTATTATAGTGTACACTTATTTGTATATGTCTCTTCTAGAATAACTTGAATTTACTACTAAACTCCTTTCTATATTCTATTTCATCAAATTTAAAACTCAAAAAGATTAATAGTATTTTTTATAGATTAGGAATTCAATAATTTTATTCTCTTTTTCACTTTATTTCATTCTTTTTTAATTCCCTTGATTTATTTTGTTAAAATATAAAGATGAATTTAAAAAAATGAAAAATGTTGTTGATAACATTATAAATATACTAAAGATGCTCTTTTATATTTTTATATTGATTTTTTTTAGAAGTAATTTAGAAATTAATATAAATATTAATCATAATGAAAACATAACTCCTTTCTTTAAAAATAAATAAATTATATTTAAAAGAATATATTTAATTTATTTTAAACATTTCAATTATTCAATCATATTAATATGTTGATCGATAAAATGAATTATTAATCTTTTTGAACTTTTAACAAGATGAAATAGAATACAGCTAAAAGCTTAGTTGTGAAAATAAAATACATAATAAAATTCATATACTAAACAAAAAGTATACTTTACTAGTATATAAGCTAAAAAAAGATACAGAATTTTAAAATGAGTACATTGAAACAAATAAAATGTATAGTATTTTTTTCTTCATCACAATTTTAGTAGTATGATATATATATTTTTTTTTTTTTTTTTTTTTTTTTTTATAGTGAAGCATTTTTTTTACCAGATATATATATGAGTAAAGTGATATGAATCTTTTCTTTATCATAGAATAGCATTAAATAAAATAAATGATAATTTTTATTAAAATGTATAGAATAGTTTCAATTATTTAATTATAGTGTTAAGAATTAATAGAATATTGAGTTAATGTCTTTTATTTAAAAGGATTTTAATTTTTACGTAAAGTAAGTTATTTATTTAATGCCTTATAATAATACAAGGATCATATATTTCCTATAATAAATAACTTATAATAAATAAAGTTAGTAGGAATTACTCAAAGTGCTCAATATCAGTTTGTTCATTACTTTATAATAATCTTTGAATAAAAAGTTAATAAAATATACAATAAGTATATATGTGTGTAATTATGTTAAATACTATTTTATTCTGAATGCATTGCTGAATTCATTTTTATGAGTTCTTATAATATTTGAAAATTTTATTACTTTTTTATAATAATTTTTCAAGTAGAATGAAAAAAGAATTAATTATAACTTAATACTATGTCATGTAATGCATATATATTGCAAAAATATTTTAACAAATGATTTTTCTTTTTATCTCTATATATTTTTTCTAAAAAAAAATTAAATTATTTATATAGAGTTATATCTTATTTATAACAACTTTTTTAATACATAGAATGATTTTTAATATATATTAATTAGTATTTTTAAATATACACCGCACTTTTCATTTCTTTTTTTATATTATTTAAATAATAACAAATAATTTTATAAAAACAAATAATTATCTTTTAAATAAAAATTATATTTAGGTTAAAAAATAAACCAAAAAATTAAAATTTTTTAATTATAATATTATTGAATGTTACAATATTATCTATGATATACAAATATATTTTCTGAAAATTAAGTAAGAATTTTTTTTTAATATGATTTTTATATTTCTTATTTTATTAATCTAATCTTTTTATTATTTTTCGTATTCTATAGTATATTATTTTCTTAAATGTTAGAACTATTTAAATACAAATTATTTGTTAAATGACTTTATATATCTTAAAAAAAAAAAAGTATAATAATATTTCCTTTTAAGTTATATAAAAAAAAACATTTTTAAAAAAGTTCATGAACCTATTAATTAAAATTTCCTTTAAGTATTTTTTCTGTTCATTAATTGTTTATTAAGTTTATCTAATTATATAAAAATAATTGTTTTTATGGTAATTGTGATTATTTCTTTTTATTATAAAAATTTATATAAATTATTATATATTACGAAATAATTCATTTTTCATTGTTATGTAATTTTTTTTTAAAAACATAATATTGATATTAATTTGAAAATTACACAACATATAGATAATTATACCCCCCTTAACGAAAAATTTCATATCTCATTTATTTATGTTGTCTTATTTTTATTATGTTTTCTAATTTACACTATAACAATAATATAATTAATTTTTATATTGATAATTTGTTATTTATAATGTTCTCTATAAAAAAAAAAAAAAAAAAAAATTTATTAATAATTTAAATTTTTTTTTTAAATTTTAAAATTTTCAAGTTACATAAAATGCTTACACTACTTATTTATTAATTGGCAATTTAAAGGAATTTTGCAAATATTAAATAATTAAATTCATAAATGTCAAGAAAACTAATCTAAGTTCACTAATTATAATTTCACCTTTAAAAGTAAATATATATCCTTGATGATTAAAATAATAAGAAATAATTACTTTGTATATATATCAGGAAAAAATATAATAATAAAATATATTTTTTAATCTATAAATTTTATTTTTTTTTGTTAAATTCCAATTATTAAAGTAAAAAAAAATTATATAATTAAATAAAAAAAGTTCATGAATTACTTGTAATAAATTTCTAATAATTATTAAAACATCACTGTACAAAAAATTATCATTTATTAAAAATCATAATTTTAAAAAATACATCACAATTTTCTCAAAAAAAAGAATCTTCTCTCATGTATATAATTTTAATATACATTTTACATCTAAACAAAATTATATATATATATATATTTTTATCATAGGATTATATATAATATATACACGAAAATATATTCCTTTATGGTATAAAGTATTAACAAATTTTATTCAATTATTTATTAAAACTAGATTAACTCTGTATAGCTTAACTAACGATTAAAAATAAAATGAGTTACGTTTTATTGAAATAAAAATCTTGATAAAGTGAATTTAATTTTTTGTAATTTTATATTTATTATATCATTTTTATATGTTACTAGCTTATATGTATTACCTAAATTATTAAATGAATTAATGATCTTGTAATATTTTTATAAATTTAATTTCTTTTTCCTCATAATTTAGTCACAAATGTAACATATATAAATAAATAAATGATATATAAAAATTAAATTTTTTTCTATAAAAAATTTAAAAGTAAAAATAATCCTAACTATGTGAAAGTGTAAATATATAAAAAAAATTAGTGTGTTACATGATAAAGAATTCTATTATTTCTTATATAGTAAATCTAAAATATTTTGTTAAATAGAAAAAATTATATTAGGTAAAATTGTTAAAATTCTTAGTTTAAATTAATACAATTATGTAAACTTTTTTTAATTTTAATGTAACTTTGTATTATGTACAACAAAATTATATAAAATAAAATTAACGAAATACAAAAAAAAAAAAATTTATAAAATAGAAAAATACTAAATTTAAAATAAAAATATTATTTATATTGATATATATACTTTTTATTATACCTTTGATTTATAAAAATATTAATATGTTATTTTAAGAAAAACATTTATTTTAAATGGTCATAATATTTCGTAAAATTTTTATTATAATTTTAAAAATTTTCTAATACAAAAATTTTTTTTCAAATACTAACATAAAAAATTCGTTTTTCAAAATTTCTATAAATTCATATAAAATTATAGTTATGAAAAAAAAATATTTTTTATATAATTATTTATTTAAAATTATAACACAATTATTAATTTTGGAGTAATTAGTATATTTTTAATATTACATATATTTTAAAAGTTACAAAAAAATTTTATATTCATACTATTAAAAAAATAATTTACAAGCATAATTAATATTTTAAAATAATGTAATGAACATTAACATTAATTTTCCACAAAAATAAAGTAAAAAATTTACACATTGTAACATTGAAAAAATGAATTTTATAACTATAAAAAAAAAAAAAAAATTTTACATTTTTTAGTTTAATTTAATACTAAAAATATTTTACTTTTATTATAAAAAAAAATTAACATAATAAAACTGAATATGAATGTGCCTTGTCATTAATGTAATTTTAAAAATAATACACATATCTTTATATTTGAAATAAATTATATTTTTTTTTTTTTTTTTTTTACTTAAGATAATATCATCATTGAAAATTAGTGAATTAAACATTTCTATAAATATAACACTTTACTAAAAAAATTTTATCTATAAATAGTTTACATGATTAATTCAAATGTATTTCTAAAAAATATTTTCATGTATTCCTATTATTTACCATCTTCATTTATATCTACATTTAATGCTATTTTTTTTATATTTATATATTATTTAGTAAACAATGTATAATAATTTTAATTAATTTACATTATTCTAATATCTTTACTATTCAAAAGGTGTTATTTATAATTCTATGTATCCTATTGAAAGTTAGAAAATTAAAGAAACTTATTTTTATTATATGAGCTTTTGAGAAGTTATAATATTTTTTGTTCCTAAACCATATGAAAAAAAATATAAGTTTTTTAATAATTTATAAAAGTTTTAAAGTTTATATATTGTGTAATCCTTTTAAAACATATTTACAGTATATAAATTTTTTGTTATTCAATAGAAATTTTACTAATTATCAATAAATATAACTAATCTATATTTTTACTTTTTATTTTTCTCTAAAAAAAAAAAAAAAAATTAAGAAAATTACAAAAAAAATAAATTAAAAAAAAAAAGAAAATTCATTATTTAAATATACAAAATTAAAAAAAATTAAATAAAAAAAGAAAAAAAAATTAAATACCTAAAGTAATAATAATGCGAATAAAAAAAAAAAAATTCCAATTATTTTAAATAATTGGTTTATTTTTAAAATCAAACCAGTTAGAACACTTATCGTAAACCTTTAATGTAGATTTTAAATAATGAGGATAACCATTATCAAGATAATTCGAATTCTTATTATTTATATCATTTTCCTCACAAATTTCATATCCTAATAAATTAATAGTTGATTTATTTAAAAATTTTGGTGAACAAAATGAATGCTTTTGAATATAACTATATTCATAAATTAAATTTTGTATTTTTTCTTTGAATTCAGTAATATCATCCATAGTTAAATATTCTAAGTAATGATGCAAATGAGCCCTTCTTTTAAATAATTTATTAAATCTTTCTAATATTTGAAGAAATGTATTCCTTATCTCACATGAATTATTTAAACATAATAAACTATATGGTTGGTTTAATGGAGATACATTACATAACCCTATTTTTGTAGCATCCTTATTGTATCTTAAGATATTTAAATTCTTTTTTATTAACAACACATTTTTTGTGATATCTGAAATATTAACATTACCCCTAACTAAAAATGCCATAGATAAGCTTAAGCCATCCTTGGGGTTTGCAAGAAGCATTTGATTATTATGATTTAATACGTTTTTAAATAAATGATTAAAAGTTCTTGTATTTTCTGTTTCTATACAAGGGCTTAAAGATGACAATAAAAAGTTAAAAAAGGGATAAGGAATTAAATTGGTGCATATTTCATTTATATCTACATTTAAAGAACCCTCAAATCTCATAGAACTTGTAAGGTTTACAATTACATTAGCCACAATATTATTCATCTTTGAATAATTATTTTTATCATTTTCATTTTCCTTCAATTTCTTACTATTTAAGATATTTAACAGAGCATCATTTGAAACCGGTAAAACACAATTAGAAAATTCATGAATTTTTGTTAAAGAAAAAAAACTATTATATGGTGATGTTATTACATCATCACAGACAGATGGAAATACACAATTACTAAATTTTACTTCTTTATAAGAGTCATTTAGCATTTCTAAAATATAAGAACCCAAACCCGAACCTGTTCCTCCTCCTAATGATGATGTAATATAAAAAGATTGTAAAGAATCGCATTTTTCTACATTTTTCCTAATAATATTATCAATTAAATTCTGATAAATTTTTCCATAATACATATATCCTTGAGACCAATTATTACCTGCTCCAGATTGTTGAGTAAAAATATTTTTTTCATCAAATAAAAATGAAATAGGACTTTTCATAATTTCATTTGTTACTCCCATTTCTGTATCTATTAATATAGCTCGTGCTTTTAAATTTTCTCTATCTTTTGAATTACAATTTTCATTTATGTTTTCAAAAAAGGAAGACATAGAATCATTTATAAAACTTTCTTTACTTACTACTTCTTTTTTTTCATTTTTTTTTTTATGTAAATGTTCATTTATTACTACAGACCAAAATTCATGCCCTAATTGATTTCCACATTGTCCAATGTGTAAAAATATAATTTCACGAACCATTATACCTTATTTTAATATTTTTTTTTTTTTAAATATATTTTAATGGATATTATCTTTATTATTATTACTTTTTTTTTTTTTTTTTTTTTTTATATATTTACATTTAAAGATACCTATTTCTAATTTTATTCATAAAAATTGTCTTTTTTATATAAATATATAATCAAAATTATTTATTTTTTTTTTTATTTTTATTGTATTCTATGTTTCTTTGTTATTTTCTAAAAGAGTTTTACCTGATCCATTTTATTTTTAATAATACAATAATTATTATTTAATTTTATATTATTTATTTATTTATTTTATTTTTTTTTTTTTTTTTTTTTAAAAAAAAAAAAAAAAAAAAAAAAAAAAGATATTTTCAATGACCTACCTATAAATACTCAAGTATGTTAGANTGTTAAGAAAAAATCTCTCTCTTCCCAAAAAAAAAAAAATTCAATCTTTTTATTTTTTTTTTATCTTTATCTTTTTCAAAAGAAATATTTCTCAAAAAAAAATTCCAATAATTTTTTTTTTTTTTTTTTAGTTATCTCAACTAATTACGTATTCTCTACATAGCTAGTCCTTCTATAGGCAAAAAGGTTAATGAAGCCTTTTATTAACAAGTGCTCTACTTCGTTCAGCATTCCTTGATTTCAATAGGAATTTATTTACTTTAATAAAAATCCTTATTGAATATTGATTATTATTCAATTGTAATTTATTTAATTATTTGTTATGAGTTATATTCAGTAATTTAAATATATTGCTGTTGAATTAACAAACATAAACAATTAGTAGAAATGCAAATTAATTATATGAATATTAATTATGTGAAAATTTTATTGTCATATGTATAAAATTTTCTCTCACAAATTAAAAATATAAATATTATGAAATTAAACTCTTTTACGTAAATATTTTTATCTGTTTAAGATCTCATTTTTATTGGTACTAAATCTTACTCTCGATTTTTATTTTACCATTCTTTTTCTTCTCCTTAATTCAATCATTTCAAAAAAAAAAAAAATATTTTTTTTTTCTTACGTATCTCTCTTTTTTTTTTTTTTTTTTCGCGTATGCACAACCAACTATGTATTCTTCATATAGCTAGTCCTTTTTATTATCAAAAAGGTTAATGAAGCCTTTTATTAACCAGTACTCTAGCAAAGTCACCGAACACCCAATTAATAAAACATCCAGCAAAGTCACTTAACATCCAGTTAATAAAACAATTATGCAACATTTACTTATTTATAACAAAATATTTTTCCCATTAAACAAAAATAGGAAAGACCATTTTAATTGTTCTTTATTTATTTGTTTATTAACTGATTAATAAAAGGTATTAATAACCTCTTTGAGAAAGAAAAGTAACATATGTATGGAAAATAAGTAATTAGCTAGGTGCTTTATAAATAATAATATAAGCCTTTTTTCTATAATAATTAGATTAATAATTAGAAAAAAAATATTTTATGCTGTGCAAGCTAAATTTCCGTTTTTTTTTTTTTTTTTTTGTGCCTATTCATTTATTTATATTAATATAAATAACAAAAAAAAAAAAAAATAAAAATGATTCTATTTTCATGTTATAGTTTATTTATTTTTTTTTTCTTATTTTTTGTAATGATAAACATTTACTTTTATTAAATTTTAATTTTTTATTTTATTATATATCTTAAATAATTATATCTTGTGTATCTATTAATCTTAGAAATTATATATGTGCATATATGTATATGTTTTGCACATCAATTATTTTTATTTTCCATCCTTTCAAAAATTAGTAACTCATCTATAGACACTTTCACTTTAATTAAAATAATTAACGCTGTTAATAAATATTATTTAACATTTATTTAAGTATTAATAATGAATATATATATATATATAAAATTATTCTTAGAAAATAATATTTAACTTTAATATCATGAATTAAATTTATAGACAAAAACTCTTAAAATTTTTTTTATTTAAGAATAACCTTTTCTTCAAAATTCAAATCCATCTTAACAGAAAAAAAAGATAACCCTTTAAAAAAGTTGTTAAAAAAAATTATCATATTTCTTTCATTAAGGATATTTATAAATTAAAATTATAATTTTATATATATGCATGGTCTAGTAATATATATACTTATTATTAATATGAAATTAATTAATAATTGTATAAAGTTAATATTAAATTATACTACTACATGCATCTTAAAAAGAAAAAATTGAACTGTATTATATAAGTAAAATAAAACATTACAAATGAATAAATTTTTCTTAAATATTTTTTTCTTTTGAAGAAATTAAAAAAAAAAAATATATTTAAATATAAAAAATTAAAACTAGAAACAATATTTCTTTCATTTAGATAATCATTTTAACATACCCATGAATTAAAATGATTTATTAAAAAAATAAGCTATTTGTTGCTATTAAAAATAATTGTTCTAATATGGGTTTCCCGTCTTTTTTTTTTTTTTTTTTTTTTTTTTTTTTTTTTTTATATATATATATATATATATATATATAAATGCTTGTACTAAAAGTAATTACACAAAAAAAAAGAAAATAATATAAATAATAATAACTTCTTTTATTTATTTATTTTTTATGTATTTACAATTTTAAAAGAAAAATGTCAAGTTTTTTTCACTGGAAAATGACACTGACTCAAAAAAAAATATATTATTATAATATTTTTTTTCTGTTATTTTCTTTTTATCTTTTATTTAAAAAATAATTAAATCTTAAAAAAAGAATGTTTTTTTTTAGGAGGGAAATGTTTAGTTGGTATGGAGTGTATACTTATTTTTAAGATGAAATGTTAAAAAAATTATACACTGAAGTGTTGTATAAATTAATTTAAAAATAATAAACTAATATGTTGTAATTGACGTTAATTATTAAAAATAAGATTTTCAAATTAAAATTAAATTAAATATAGTTAAGTACACATTCTCTTTATTAATATGTTTGTCATATACTAACAAAAACATTGAACAATCAATTAATAGATCAGTGTATTAATATTCGTATAGCATGATGAATAAACTAGAGTGTATCCAATTTACTAATCTATCGTTCAGCAATTTAGATATATCAATGAACAAACAAATTAATAAAGAGGATATAGAGTTTTCTTTACTAGTTTTACTGTTATAAAAATTTTTTTTTTTTTTTTTTTTTTTTTTTTTGTGTATTTTACGTTGTTGTTGATCATTATTAATTACTCTCTGTATTTCTAATAAATTATAGTTCTCTGGGTTAAACCTAAAATTATAGAAATTATTTTATTATATTAAGAAAAAACGAAAAAAAAAAAAAAAAATGTTAATAATAAAATAGTAATACAAAATAAGATATAGTCTAAAAAAAAAAAAAACAAAGAAAAATATATATTTAAAAAAAACAGTAAAATAATAGAATATAAAAATATTTACTTAAAAACTTTAGAGTTTTGCATTTCTATTTCAATTAATGGTTCTTCATTATAACTATAAGCAGAAAAAAAAATTAAAATAAAATATTTTTAAAATTATTATAAGGAAAATAACTTTTATAACATTTTTTTATTTTAAATTAATTTTTTTTTTTTTTTTTAACTCTATTAGTTCTAATGTGTATTCTAAATTAAGAAATTTATTTTTTTTTTGTTTTGCTTCAATATGATGAATCAATTTTCTACAGTTGTCATTATAAGTAGAACAAGGATTATACTTTATTTTAATTTTTTTTACATAAGCTAACAAATTTACTTTAGGAAAAAAATTAAATTTGGGCATTATTAAAAAATTAAAAAAGAATAAATATAAATTAATATGAAATAGTAAGATATTATAATAATAATGAAAATAAAAAATAAAAAAAAAATAGAAGAAAATACGAAAAATAAAACTAAACAAACTAATACAAATAGAAATAAAAATTAAAAAAAATGTACATTATTTTATAATAATTTTAGTTAGTGAAAAAAAAAAAAAAAAAATGTATTATTTATAATGATGTACAATCATACTTTACACTAAAAAAAAAAAAATAAAAAAATAAAAAAATAAAAATAATAAAACAGATGTTTTAAATAAATAAAAACATTTTAAAAATAAATTTATATAATTTGTAGAAAGAAATAAATTTTATAAAAACAAAAGAATATAAATTTTATGTTAAAAAAAAAAAAAAAAAAAAAAAAAAAAAGTTACAAAAGAAATTTTTTAGATATGAAAAAAGTTAAAAGGAAATACCTTACATTTTATTCAAATTTTTTTACCTTTTTTTTTTTTTTTTTTTAAATTATCAATTTTTATTTAACGAAATTAATTTCTTTTTAATTTTATTTTTTTATGTTATTTCATAAAAATTCTACTAAGTACAATAATATATTTTTAAGGGAAATAAATATTACAGTAATTTTTTATGTGCACACATTTTTATATTTCTTAATATACAAGCAATTTGAATACATTATTTCATTTTTCTTATAATTTTATATTATCTTAAAAAAAAAGAAAAAAAACTTTTTTTTAAGAAAACGTTTTGTCACTGTTGCTTTAAGTTTAGATTATCTAAAATTTCCTAAGGAAAATTACTTTTCTTAATTTTTATATTAAAATGTTTAAAAATATATATTTATTTTTTTTTTCATTTTTTTCTTAATTAGGAATTGCAAAAAAAGAAAAAAAAGAAACGTTGAACTATGAATTGCACATTATATATTAATACAAAATCAAGCTTGAATTTCTTATTTTTTTTTTTTTTTTTTTTTTTTTCTTATTCTCTCCTTTTTTATTCTTTTTTTTTTTTTTTTTATTTTTAAAATTATTAANAATATAATAAAATCATTTAATAGATATATATATGAAAGAAAATTGTCAGAAATATTGGACAAAAAAGAAAAGTTATTAGATAATGCACTTATGAATAAAGAATTAAATATTCATATAAATGGGGTGCTATTTGTCAATGAAACTAAAAATAATAAATTAGATAATGAAGAAACAAAAAAAAAAATATATATATATAATAATTTTTTTTTTAATTTAAATGATAATTATAATGAGTATATATGTAGGATAAAAAATTTTCATATGTTCTCTAGTTGTACAGAAATTGCAAGTTATAACTCAAATTTAACTAATGATTGCCTCACATCTAAAAACTCTACTAATTATTTTTATAATGTTTTGGTTCCTTTTGATAATTCTTACATGAATGTGAAAATAACAGATGCATTACAGGGATCAATAATAGATTATTCAAAAAATTTAAATAATGGATCTTCTTTTTATCTTCCTTATTACGTTAAAGAGCCTATTACTTGTATGTATAAAGATGAAAAAAATAATACTGTTGCAAATTACATTATCTTAAAAAAAAATGAAAAAAAAATATTAGGCTGTGACTTTAGTGATAACAGTGAATCATTTCTTTCTTATCATTTTGATTTACAGAATTTTAAAGAAGAAATATTAATTTGTAATATTCATGCTAAACAGTATGATTTTATTGGTTTTTTTTGTTCATCAAAAAAAAATTCTACTGATTATAAAATCAGTCCTTATTCATGTTTTAATTATGTGTATGATGAAAAAATGAATATTCAAAATATAGATGATATAATAAAACCCATAAACTTTATACCTACTAATCAAAATACTAATATAAAAAATCCAAGATATGTTAAAATAAGTAGTGATAAAGAAAAGAAATTTTCTTGTGTCTGTACCTATTCAAATGAAAACGCTATAAAGAATGGAATAATGATAATTAATTTAAGTACAGAAGAAACAGAAAATGAAACATTATTATCAAAAAAAATATATTTTAAAGAAAATATTCTACTAACAGAAGAACCAGAATCGGATGATTATTCATCTGATTTATTTTCATTAAATAATTTTGAAATTACCTTACCTTTCTTTATTTTCTTCTTGTTCTTTATTTTTTAATTAATATTTTTAATATATATATATATATATATATATTTCTTCTTTTTTTTATTTTTTACGTAAATATAAAAATTTATATATTTATATGTTTGACTTTTTATGTTTTTTATAGCTACTATGCACATTAATTTTTTTAAAAATAAACCTTTTATAAATTTTAAAGAAAATTGTATTAAATAATGTTATAAATATTACAATATTAATATAAAAAAAATTCTATTAACTATTTTATTTTTATGAATTTTTAAAATAGTCTAAAGTTATACTAATGTAATTAAAAATTTCATAAATTCCTTTAAAAATTAAATCTTCTTATAAAAAATAAACGAAAATGTTGTCAAAAGTAGACTAGCTTAATAAAAATACAGTAAAAACGTCATTATTTTTTTTACAAGATATATTTTTTTTACATACAATTTATTTAAGATGTAGTTTAACCAAAACAAATTTGCCTTTTGAAATTTTTTTTTTTATTTTTAAGGAAATTTTTTTCTTTCATATTTTTATGCTTTTTTTTTTTTTTTTTTGTATTTTAATTTTATTTTTAAGAATTAATTTTATCTCTTTTAATTTTTGATCATTTTTTTTTTTTTTCATATCGATTAATGGAATATTATAAATATTATTAAATGAAAATTTTATTTTTTTTTTTTTTTTTATAAATGAAAATATGAATATACTAAAAAAAATATTGAGAGAAAAAAACAAAAGGAGAAACAAAAACCATAACATAAAAGCAAAAAACAAAAAAATCAAAGGAAAAAAAAAAAAAAAAATAAAACATTATTTGTAATTTTTAAAAAATTAAGGGATTAAATAGCAAAATGCATTTGTTAGATATTTTACAGTTATTTTGAATATTTTTATTTGGTTTTTTAATATACTTTGTTTTATTCTATTTTATATGAATATTGCATTATACATTAAAACTACATTATTAAATTTATTAAGAAGAAATGCAAAGAGAAATTTATTAAAAGTTTTTTCAGTTTATTAATTTCTTCACATGTTAATACTGACAAGCATCATTATTACAATACTTAGTTGAAATATAAAAACTTTCTTATATTAAAAAATTAATTATTAATTATAAACATTTGTTAACTTTTTTTTTTTTTTTTTTATTAAGTTGTTTAAAATGAGTATAAATAAAATTAAATATGACGAACTAGAGGAAATGAAAGGTAAAAATGAAATATTAATAAATTTGTTGAATAAACTTATAGCTTTTGATAAGAAACGAGTATTTTTGTATCCAGTTAATGTAGAGTTGGTTCCTGATTATCTTAATGTAATAAAAGAACCAATGGATTTTACAACTATGAAACAGAAAATCCAGAATTTTAAATATAATGATTTTAATGATTTTGAAAAGGATGTTTACTTAATTATAAATAACTGTTACACATATAATGATAAAAGTACTATATATCATAGAATAGCAGAAAATTTAGAAAATTATTACAAAAAAATAAGCATTAAAATGCATAAAAAGTTTATGAACATTCACTTTCTTTATCATAAAGATAAGAATATTTTAAATAATACTTTATTTAATGCTAACGCAAATAATGTAAGAAAAAGCTATTTAAAAGAAAAAAAAAAAAATGAAAAAACAAAAAAGTATGGAAAGGTAGGTAGACCATCTAAATTAATAGCTAACTCAAAAAACAATTATGTTAACAACTCAAACGAAATTATAAATGCTTCTAATAAAAAAAAAAGAATTAACAGTAAAATTTTATCAAAAGGTGTTGAAAACATATATAACTTCGTTAATAATATAGATGTATCATCTACACCTAATTTTGTAAATAACATTTATGAAAATATTAACAGTTCATACTTGAACTTAGAAAATATGATAGAAGAAGAAAATTTTAGCACAATCATAAATAAAATACAAGATAGTCATGATAAATCAAATGATATTTTTCACTTATTAATAAAAATGTTATCTAATAACACAAGTAATCATCCTATTTTATGCAATTATGTAAATATAAATAAATCTCTACGTGAAATTTTCTTTGAAGATACTACCTTTTCAAAAATTAAAAATTATGATTATTTATTATCAGATAGTGATGATGTTAGTATACAATCAACAAAAACCAATAGAAAAAGGGAATTACCTAATATTTCAAATATTTTTAGTGAAAGATATAAAAAGAATAAGTTATTAAATGAAACACAACATAATAATTATAATAAATCTAATTATTCGGAAAATAATATTCATTGTAAAAATGATGATAGAAATCATATGAACAATAAAGATACTACAGAGAATAGTAAATTGTATCCATGTAATAATCATGATAATAACACACTTACAAAAAATAATAAAAATTTAAATGAAAATCACAGTGAGTTAAATAATGATAATGACGATGTTTGTCAAAAAAAACACATAGAAGATACTAATGATGAAATAAAAGATTACATTTTAAAAAAAAGAAAATTTGTTGATGAAAGAAATAAAATGTTAAATGAAACAATAACATGTAATATTGAAAAAGAAGAACTAACAATGAACCTCTTAAATTACAAAGAAAGTGTAAAAAAATTTATAGGAGAATCTAATTTTCCTACATTCATTAAAATATTCCCGAATATTTATACTATTTTAGATAACACAGATGTGAAAGATTTATATTATTCAGCTTTTAACGATTTAAGGATTTTTGGCTTAGATATGGAAGATTTTATTGAATTTAACAATAAAATTGTTTATAATGATAATTATTTATTAGGAGTTGGTAAATATCACATAAATAACATTTTTACATTGGATAAAAAATTATCGAATATCCTCTCTGATGATAAAGATAATTCTCATTTTTCTGATAAACTTAAAGCATATCTATCAAATAATAAAAAACATGAAAAAAGTAGTTTATTATGTTATAATTACGAAGATAATAAATATTCAGTAAAAAATAACAACACTACTATAAACGATGAAAAAAAAAAGGAAAATGAATATATGTTTGAAATGAAAAGTAATTGTGAAAATACTATTAACAAAAATTGTGAATATTTTAATAATAATATATTATCTAGCCATAATAATAATGATTTAATTGTAAATAAATTGCACATGAATAATGAAGGAGAAAAAGAGATAATAAAAAAACGACATAATGATGAAAATTCCTTTAATAATGAAAATATTTTGAAATATGAACATAAATTATATGATGACTTTGAATATTCTTGTGAATCATCATCTGATGATGAAAATTTAAACCTAAAAAATTTTTTTTATACATATAATTCTTATCTTAATGAATTTTATAAAGAGAAAAAAAGAAAAAAAATATTGAATAACAAATATAGTAAAAGTTATAAAATCTTTTTATAGGAATTAAATTTTATAAAATTAAAAATTCTTTTTTTTTTTTTTTTTTTTCTCTTAAATATAGAAAATTTTTTAGTAAAAATACAAAGTACAATATATTAATCTCATAAGTTAGATTCTTTCCTTTAAAATTATTGTAGTATTTATATTTTAAATAAAAGTCACAAATTATAAAATAAAATTTAGAAATCAAATAATTAATATTGTTCAATTATTTAGTAAATAATTTATATGTCATTTTTATAAAATTACAAAACAGTATAATATATAGATAATTAAAAATGATAATTCATATATAAAAAGATAAAATAAAATTGAAATATTAATAAGAATTATAAGAAAAAATAAAAAAAATTAAATAATTTAACTCCTAAAGATTATATTAAAATATATTTACTTAATTTAGCCTTTTTATATTATTTATTAAATATATATATATATATATATAAATTATTTTATTTAATTTATTATATTTTTAACCTTTCCTATGTTTTATCTTTCATTAAAAAAAAATATTCCGTTTAGCAATATGTGTAGTTGCATATATATTTTTTCATTTTTTTTATTAAACTATTATTATTTAAATATAAATTTTTTTTTTTTCCATTTGTTACTTATTGTTATCTATATATAAATTTTTTTTTTTTTTTTTTTATTATATATTTAACAAGTACTTTTTTATGTGATTTAAAATTAAACTATTATATGGTTAAATATTAAGGAATACAATTTTTAATGCATTATATATATCTAAGTATATCTTTGTTTTTTTTTTTTATAAGTCTTTTATTTTTTGTAAAAGTTTTATTAAAATAAAACAAACGAATAATAAATTTTTATCTAAATATGTAAAAGTAAAAATTGTTTAATATATATATAGAAAATAAAAAATAAACAAAAAATAATAGCTGAAAGTGCTTAGAAATGTTTATATATAAGTAAAATGTTCTTAAAATATAGAAAAGTAATGAAAAAATAAAATTAAACAGTCCAAAGTAAATTAATAGTGTTTCTTCTTTTGTATACTTTATTAATAATATTGAAGTATATAAATAAATATAATTTCTAAAAAAATTTGAAAAAATAAGTTTATGTAACATCAAAGTTATGGAAATAATAAAAAAAAAAGAATAAATAAAAAATTTTTTTTTTTTTTTTTTTTTGCATTTTCCTTGTGGACTTTCATTAAAATAAAAATAATTTAATTTTATAATATAATATCCTTACTATAAATATTACAGACTCAATTATTCAAAAAAGAGAAAATGACAATTTATTCAAGATATAATAATTTTTTTTTTTTTTTTTTTAATACTTATTTATTTGTTGTATATATCTGATTGCATTGTAGTTGGCATTCTATTATTTCTTTTTCTTGTATGTCTTTTGATTCATTCGCAGATAATCCCTTCAATTCTTTTGAAGTAGTAGGATCATTTTTTTTACAGCACAACATACATGTTTTATTTCTGCAAATTCCATCGTTAGAATTGCACTTTTCATAATCTTTATTTTCTTCCAATGAAACACATTTATTTAAAAATTTTTCAAAAACTTTTTGCATTTTTGCTGCTAAATGATCGTTTTTTTTGCAATGTTTTTCGCATTGTTTCTTTTCATTACTATCCAACAATTTTGTATGATGTAAACAACATTCCTCACAAAAATTCTTTATGCAATTAATATGCTTTTCTTTTGTTTCATTTGGATATATATCTGTCTCACATGAAGATCTTCTATTTAATACATGTATGGATTCTTCACATGATGCCCATGCTTTAGATTTAACCTGAATAAAATTTTCATATTGTTTTGATATCGGAGGAGACAGTAAGATTGAATCAAATTTGACTTCAATAAGATTATAAACTAAGAAACCAACATTTCCTGGACGAATAATATTTTTATCAAAACTACCTGCATCTAGCTCTAAATGATAATCATTACTACTTATTATAACATGAAATTTTGATTTTAAAAAGTTCAATTTTACATTTATCCATTCGTTCTCCATTTTTAGCCTTTCTATTTTTTCATTGTCTTTTAACTCAGATAAAACTTCTATTTTATTGTTATTTCTTGTAAAAAATCTAATACTATCGTATCTTATTTCAAGGGCATTATAATTAAGTTCATTTTCATAATGAAAAAGAACATATATATATGATTCATTATTATTATCTTTGTTGGGAATATTGATATCAAATGTAAAGTAACCTTCAGTGCATTTTCTTTGTTTTAAAAGTCCTATAGTGTATCTATTATCATCTAAAACATCATCTTTTATATTTCTTGAACACAATAAATGATTGTCATTATCAGTTTCAAATCTCCAACTATAATCAATATCGTTAATAATTATATATGGGAACTTGGTATTCATATAATTTTCCGTGTAAAAAGGGCAATTATTCATTGAATTTTCAGAATTTTTATTTTTTTTCAACAAATCTAAACATGGATGAGCTATAATTTCAAGATCATCAAAAAAGGAACCCTGGCCGTGAATTTGAGAATATAAACCAACTGTACCAGAAAGAAACCTTTCATCTAAAGAACTTAGTATTTTAACTTCTTCTAAATCTTCATTAACTTCATAAATATCAATATTTCCATGACTTGTTATTATTTTGAATTTATTCCATTGATTATTTATATTAACTTCTCCAAAACTTTCTCTTAGAATGTGAACATTACCATTTTCAACTTTTGATAATCTTTTTACACCTCTATTACATATGTCAAATAAATAAAAATTAAAATCATCTTTAGCTCTAAATACCACACCTAAGCAACCAGTTCCTCTACTTAACATGCTAACTATTATTTCTGAGTCATAAAAATTTAACCCTTTTAATTTAGCATAAGATCCTTCACCTATTTCTGTGTTTGAAACACTTTTCGTTTGCCCAATGCTATTTTTATGACCTAATATATTTGTATCTGTATATCCCCATGTACTAGGTTTATTCTTCATAGATTTTGAATCAAAAATACGGAAATGAGTAGAAAAATTCATAGTTTCATAATTTAATTTAAAAGTACCAAAATTATATGCAACCTTTTGGGCTCTTTTTAGCTCCTCTAAACGTTCTTTTAATTTTTCTAAATCATATATATATTTTTCTGATAATTCATATAAATACAAAGTCAAATTTTCTGTTACATTGTATAGGTTTATAGCATCTTCAATTTGTTTTTTAGATAATACATCAGCTGGTTTTAGTTCTCTTTTAGTTTTTTCTAAAATCCTTACTGTTTCATCTTGGATATTTGAAATTATGGATGGATCTACTCCATGAATAGAATCAATGTTGCTTAATAATACAGAAATTAATTCATGAAGATTTACAGTTTCTACATTTTCTTCATCATTATATCTTATTTCTTTTCTTTCCATTAAATTTTCCTTTTGTAAGAAAGATGTTTGATTAAATTGAAATAGATCCATGGGACAATCTTCAGTAAGTTCATTAATCCTTATGGTTCTATGATGAAAAATACTACTTTCTTCTTTAATGCTTTCATTGTTTTCTTCAGTGATTATATCAAGTAATCCATTTTTGTTTTTATTTAATGAAATAGACTCTATATTATTATTTATTGAACCATCATAATGATCTAATCCAGATTCAATTGTAATATTAACTAATCCTCCTTTAGTATCTATTATATCAGAATGTATTGCTGCTCTACAAATAGAACTATTATCAGAATATACTCCTTTACTGCCATATATTGCAGCGTTTTGGAATTTTTCATTATCACAACCTACTGGACATAAGACAACAATATTGGTATTTATAATTGTATTAAAATAATCTTCTAGTGCTGTTGTTTCACAATTTATGCTCAAATATTGTAATGCAGAATCATTCTCAGTTGAATTTGTCGAACAGGCTATTGCAGATATATCTGATGTTTCTAAATTGAAAAATTTAAAAGATCCATCATCATATGATATACCTGCAGTTTGTCTAATTTTTGTGCTGTCAGGTGATTCAGATGTTTTTAAATAAATTAAAGTTGTTAAATCAATATTGCCATTCAATAAATCATGAAACTTTCCACTGCAGCTACCATGATCGCAAGAATAATCATAAGCTAATGGAATATTAATTTTTCCATTTAAAACAAATCCTATCTTTTTTAATGCTAATATTAAACTATTTAATTGAGATCTTGATCTTAAAATCAATGGCTCTAAACCTACTTCAGCACAATGATATCTTATATCATCAACTGAATTTATAATATTTGTTATCAGATGATCAGGGGATTTGGGAGGATTTCCATTCCATATATATATAGATGTGCTGGAAGTCATATCACAGTATACCCTTAATGGTTCAGATGAGCACTTTGCTTTTATCCAATAAAATCCTGATTGTGGATTTTCTTGAAGATTTTTTATTACTGAGCAATCGCTAGCTGGATATGATGAAGAATCACCAGGAAATATACCTAATTTTAATAAATCATTATCGTGTACTGAATTTACTGATACTAAAGAAGAAAGTTTATCATTTAATTCATTTGCTTTTTCTTTAAATTCTTTTAATTCTTCATCATATCCTTTTTTTTCTTGTAAGCATGTTTCAATACTTGGCAATAATTCTTCTAGCTTAGATAAGTTGTTACTAATGGAATTTACATTTTTCGATACATCATCTTCAATATTAATTAATTTATTAGTTAAGTCTTTATCAAATTCTGTAATGTATTCTACAAAATATTTATCTCTAGCATCATCCGAATTAGCAGCATCTCTACAATACTCAATGACTGTTTCTAAATTGTTAGCTTGAACTTCTATAGATCTTATTCCATATAAAAATTGATCTTCCATTTTTCCATGGTTAGGATGAGGTTTAATCATTGATATTTTAATATATCTTGTTTCTATATTTTTTAATGTGTCTATAGTTATATGACTTGGGTTAGCTAAATTTTCTACAATCACTTTAAAATTTTGATTATCGGAACTAACTTCTATATTATAATGCAAAGGTGGATATTCCCAATAAATTTTTATTCTTGATATTTCTACTAATTTATTTAAGTCTAGATTTAAGTAAACCAAATGTTCGTAATTATCTGCAAATGTTGCAGAAGCCCAATAACTGTTCAAATTTCCATCTATAGTATTATCAGGATTGTGATCATTATCTAAAATAGAATTAGAATCAATGGATACATCCAAATTGAGAAGAATATCATGGATTCCTGGTACATTTCCATAAATATTTTTCTGAGAAATACATAAAGATTCTCCACTTTTTTGTAACCTTATTTGTGAGTTAGACTCAAAAATCCAATTGGATTTTCCGTCACCATCTTCCAATGCTCTTAAACAATCATATAAAACTATTTTATTATTTTCCAAATTATCTAAATTAATAACAGATAGACATTTAGGGGGATCACTAAAAGCGCTAATAATTTGATTGTTTGAATTTGTTTTCCATAATTCTCTTCCATCACCGCTAGATAAAGCATTTATACAAGAATCTAAAATTACTGAAGTGTTATCATTATTTATTAATCCTTCCTCTACCTGTAAACACATTTCATTCTCACTTGTGATTCCTGACAATAGTAAAAAGTATGGATTTCCTCCACCAATAATCTTAACTTCTCTTATACCAAAATATTTGTGAATAGGATTTTTTAACCCTATTTTAATTGATATAACTTCTTCTAACTTTTTAAAAAAATATATCTCTTCAAAAGATGCCTCATTTCCAGAAATCCTTTTATATGGAATTACAGTTTTAAAATTTTCTCCATCTGCAGACACTGATATTTTTACTAATTCTGGGCAATATTCCCAAGAAATTTTTACTCCTTTAATAAATCCTTTTGTATTTAAATATCCAATCCATGTAATTTCTTCATCTTTTGAATGATTTCCTGAACTACACCAATAATTAGGATTATTCTGAATTGCTCTTTTAGCATCATAAAGTGAACTTCCTGATTCTTCTGAGATATATGTAGAAGATGCAGTGGAATCAATAAATTTGTAAAAACTTGTTGCAGATTCTTGTCCACTCACAAAGCATTTTAATATAACACACAAAAAAAAATATAATAAATATTGCATTTCTATTGAAATCAAACTATCTAAAGAAAGAAAAAAAACCAAAAAGTATATTAAAAAATTCGATAAAAATTTTATTATCTAATTATAGAAATGATAAAAATGAAACATTAAAAATTTATTCAATAAAACTAATTTAAAAAAATTTGTCTAATTGATGAAGAAATATAATATAGAATTAAATTAAAAAAAAAATTCATAGAGCTTTCAGTATAAGTAAAAAAAAAGACTAAATATGTTTAAAAATGAATATATAACTATATAATGTCACATAAAAAAAATAGAAAATAAAAAGCTATTATAAATTTATCAAATGATATATAAAAAATTAAGCCTATTAAAAAACATCAAAATATATATAATAATAATAATTATAATTATAATAATAAAACATAGAGATGAAAAAAAGACTTAAGCAATGTTATTAAGGAATATATAAATGATATTATTACCTTCAGGAAAAGGAAAAAATTTACAACTTTTGAAGAAACAAAAAGAATTAAAATTAAATTATATATAAATTTATAATATATATAATTTTACAACATAATATACTTAATATGAGTTAATTTTTCATATTTTAAATTGATAAAATAAAAAGAGACAACATAAATAATATGAAAATTTTTAAAAACATTTAATTTTCTTACATTATTTTATTTCATATTCTTTTACTTATATAATTATCTATACTTCTTTAAATGAAAATAATTTATATGAAATTTTATTTTAAAATAATACCATTTTGTTATTAATATATTTTTCTATAGACAAGTGATATGTATCAAAGAAATATAATAATCAATAAAAAAAAAATTTTCAGTTTTACCTATAAAATTCCTTGAAAAATATAGTAGTTAGAAATAAAAATAAGCATATTTTTAAACCTGTTACATTCAAAATTTTATTTTTAAATTCTATTCACTTATATTTTCATAATATTAACCCTTCTTTTTTTAAATTTTTTTTTTTTTTTCTTTTTTTTTTTTTTTTTTTTTTTTTTTTTTTTATATACACCTAATGAAGATTGCATATAATAAAAAAAAAAAAAAAAAATTGTAATATTAATACAATTTACATCATTAAATTTTCCATTTTCAAAAAATAGGCATATAATAAGATATTTACAATATAATAAAAAAAAATATATTAAATGAATCAACTGAAATTTCCACCAATGAAAATATTCACGTTACCCATCATAAAGCAGCATAAATCCTAAACTTTAATATCAAAATATTAACAAGATACTAAATAAGACATATATATATTACAAAGAATTAAAAAAAAAAAAAATTTTTTATTTCTATAATATTATGAATCTTTTTTTTCTTCATGATTTCTATTTTTTTTTTACTAAATGGATCCTTGTGAAATAACTAAAAACTTATTAATATAAATTTTTTTACTTTTCCTTTTGAAAAATAAAACATGAAAGAATTAAATTGTTAAAATTATACAAAATTAAATATATAGATTTAAATTAAATTCATTTTTCTTTTTTGTTATAAAAATAAAAAGAACTCTTTTATATGAGGAATATGATTCATGTATTTTGAAGTTAAAAAAAAAAAAAAGGAAAATTTTTTAAATAAAAAATTATGAATAGAAAATTTTAAATAATTTTTCTATATACTATTAAATTTTAAGCTTTACATTTTATGTATAAATAATAAATTTATTTTTGAATATATTTGTAAAATTTAATAAAAATAAAAAAAAAAAAAAATATAAATCTTAGAAACATACTTTTGAGAACAAGAATTATAAATATATATAACACCATTGAATAGTGAAAAAGAAAATTAAATTAAAATACTTATTCCTAATTTTTGAAAAAAATTATTGAATTTTTATTCCCATACAACTTTTTTTGTAAAATTTTTTGTTGCATGTATATATCTGGTAAATTTAGCTTTTCTTTATTTGGGAAGCTGATGATTTAATACTACTTATTTTTAGTAAGTGAAATTTTCCAAAAAAACATATAGAAAATAATAAAATATCATCATTAAATTGAATAAAGAAAAAAGTTATTCTTAATTTAACTTTATTTTATTTCTTAAAATTTAATTATAAGATAAATATTTAGAAGTCTTATAATAAATTAGAATACTATTGATTAGATTATTTCTATTTTGTTCTAATTTTACAAATATTATTGCAAAAGAATATTTATATCTGTTAAGGTTTATATATATTTTTTTTTTAGAATTTAACATTTTGAAAATAAAAAAAAAAAACATAAATATATTAAATATGAAATCAAATTACTTCATTTGTTATTAATTATAGAATTATTTTAAAAATATATTTGCTGAAGTAAAAAATTACACATGGAATAATATAATTTTATATTCTCCAAGATTTTTTGAAAACATTTTTTTTTTTTTTTTTTCATTTTAATAGAAATTTTTTAACAAATTAAAATTAAAGAAACGTTACAATTTTCACATATATGTATGTATGTTACATATATGTATAAAACTTGTGTCAATTTAGTTTCAAGTGGAAGTAAATATTTTTTCTTATCTACAATTTATTATGTGATAAATATAAAATTAAGAGACAATTTGTATTTTTTTTAATGAAACTATAACATTGAAGAGATAAAAACCTCTGTAATTGAGTAAAGAATAATAAAAAGAATCATTTTTTTCATAATATTGTTACTTCAATTAAATTTTAATTACACTATTTTTATTAATACATTAAAAAAATAAAAATTCTTTTTAAATAAAAGAAATAAGTAGGATTCTCAAAAATATATTTAAATATTTAAAAATGAAAAATTAAAAGAGATAATGAAATTATATTGCTCAAAGGAGATATAAATAAATGCTATATATAAATTTAAGTTTTATGTATAATCCTGTATTTGTAAATTATACAACATTTAAAAAAAAAAAAAATTACACTTTTCCAGTCTTTTCAATTATATTTAGTTAAATTTTCTTTTAAAAAAATTCGTATAATTTTAAAAAAGAGATAAATGATTTTTTTTTCTGAAGTATAAAAAAAATAAATTATTTTAAAAACAAGAAAAATCAACTCCTAGTGTAAAAAAAAAAAATTGTGTTGTCTATTTGCATGCACTTGAGCGAACTTATTAGTACCTTAATTAAACAAAAGGAAAAATTATCTTAAGCAAATATATATATAAAAGATATAATATATTAAAAAAAAAAGAAATAAAAACACAAACTTAAATTTTATTTAAAGAAAATGATGTTTTTGTAAGAATTTGCATTTCAGACAAAGAAAAAAAACAAATAAATGCTGTAGGAATTTTTTATTTCTTATTGTTGCAATATATCATGAAAAAAAAAAAAAATTTTTTTATATATAACAAAAGACAGTGTACTACTTATTTAAGAATATTTTAATTTTAATTTCTTTCACCTTTGGAGTACCTGTTTCATAAAAATATGCAACGATTTAATCTATATCTTTTTGCATAGAGTAAATAATTTCTTTTTAGGAAAATTTACTTAAAAATTTAATAGATTTGCATTTTTTCATTTATACTTGTAAAATTAAAAAAAGTTCATAAATTTTTTTTTATCACACAAAAAAAAAATTTTTTTTATGTATAGTTTACAGTATTTTTGATCTACTACTATAAATTTTGAATTATATTAATTTAGATGTATTCCTAATTTAATTATTTAAATATATATATTTATATTTATATATATATATATCTATAAAAATGTAAACAAAAATATATTGAATTAATGTTAATGAAAAATGAAATGCATAAAAAAAAGGAATAATATAAACATATTGTTTTTCATTATACTTTTTATAATTTATTTAAGAAAATTAAGTGCTAATTTTACTATATCAAATTTCACTTATTATAATGGGAAAAGTAATGTGAATATAGAATTGTTTGAAACTGATTATTTGGCTATATTTAAATTATCAGGTGACAGTATAGATAACAGTGATTTTGAAATTAGTGATTCTTATTTAATTTTTGAAGACAAAAATATAAATAATTGTCACATATATAATTATAGAAATGTTGTGGGAACAATTAAAAAAGAAAAAGATCATGATAAGTTTTTATTTGTTCAGAAGAAGAATGTACCATTACATATTAAAAATAATAAGTATCGATGGTAATATCTTCTTACATGATTATATGCATATGTATTATATTTACATAAATGATGTTTACTTTTTTTTACATAATATTTTAACTTATTTCTATTGCAAATAATTATTTTCATTTCCATTTATAATATTATTTTATTTAAAAATATAATTTTTTCTTTTTTTTTTTTTTTTTACTTATTATAATTTTTTCTTCATTTAAACTTAATTTTTTTTTTTAGTTCGAATTTTTATTCTGTTAATAACTCACCTTACCCTGTTCAAATTATAGAAAAAAATAAAGAATATATAAAAGTAGAAGGCCTTAATAATTGTAGTATTGATGACACTGATAAATTTATTTTTTACTTCAACCTTTTAGAAAATTTTTATGTTTCAGAAAATGAGAAATGTGATCAAATAGCAAAATCATCTTTTATTACAAATATAGGAGTTAACAAATGTACAGGATACATTGGATATGTAGAAGATCTTTACAAATTAAATAATGATACATACTACATATGTTTCAAAAGTAATAATTTATCAATGGTTGTTCATAAAATTAGTATTAATAAAACAATTATGATGAATACATTTTACTGTAATTATGAAAACCTACATTGTTCAATTTATATTAATCCCACTTTTATAAAAAATATACCTAATATTGAAGATGATACTTTAGTTCTTCAACCAGAGTGTGGTGATACAAATATTCCAATTTTAAAAAATAATCATATATTAAATCACGGATATTATACTTTTAATTTTGATAATTCTAAAGCATATTATTACTTGGAAATATGTTTAATGGATACAAAAAAATATAAAAAAATAGGTCATATATTTTTTCTTCAAGTACAACAACCTATAATCTGTTTCATTGGTTATCAGTGTGTTATTAAAACATACACATTAAAAAGCCAAATGGATTATATACTAGGTGATATTAGAAACACAACTTTTTCTTGGTCTGATGAAGTTTGTAATTATAGAAATTTTATAAACCAAGGAAAAAAAATAAATGCATTAAAAATAGATGATTATTTATATTTTAATAGTGTTGATGTTCTAACAAACGAAAATAATTTCTGTTTAACTAATCAAGAAATATATGCTCCTCTATTTACTATACTTTTAGTTAAAAATCCAGAATTTAGTATATATTACAGTATTATTAATGATATACTTATTAATTATTCAACACATTCATTAAAATATAATAATTATTTAGGACCTTACTTAAAATATGAATGTTCCAATAATAATATAGTAAAAGATGAATATGATAATCATCAAAGAAATGATGATTTTGAGTTTCTATATAAAAATGAAAAATTAAATATAACTCTGAAATATAAAACGATAACCATGAGATTATGTTTGAAGTTGGTTAATTACTATGATATTGGTTCTGTAAAAATTGAGCAGCTATCAAACTTTAAGAAGAACTCTTTAAGTACTTTAAAATTTAGCGGTATTGTATCATTATTTCATGAAGACAAAAACACAAAAATCTTAAAATTTGCAATCAAAGAAAGTGAAGACTGCCATTCGGACAAAGGTTTTTTTATTGAAGCGAATAGTAACTTAAAAAATAAAACATTCTATCAAAATAAAATTAATGATATAGACGTAATATATGAAGGAGAAAATAACGTAAATTTAGATAAATTTAAGTACTATTTATGCATGTGCTCTAAGGAAGAGAAATGTAGAGAAAATAATAACCTGAAAGATTATTATACCTATACCAATATTTCTATATATAATGATTCACAACCACAAAAAAAAAAAATATATGTATGCAAATTGCTTTTTAATTGTTCCTTTACTGCAACATTCCACTCTACACATAATTCTGATAAATGGATATCTAAAAAAGGAAAATCTTGTAGTTCCAATGAATTAGTAGGTATAGGAGTAAATTCAAAAAATAATGTAGTCCTAAGTAATTACCCTTCAAATTTAAGGGTTATAGATTTTGATATATATTATTTTGTCAGTCAAATGAATATGAATTTATTAAATACAGATATAATTATATGTGGAAATTATAATGATCAAGAACTTACAGTTTCTATAGAAAGTAATTTTTTTTTGGTATATCAGACTGCTCCTTATGAAGAACTTGAGATTGTTAACATAGAACATTCCAATTTATGCCATAATAAAAAAACTCTTTTTATATATTCCTATTTAAATGGTAAAAAAAATCTATTTAAAAAAATTGAAATTGATGAAAAGAAAAATTTCAATAAAATAAAATTAAAATTTGATTATAAAGATTTAGAAAATAATGAAATATATTTTATAAAGGAATGCCATTATTGCCCAAATATTTTAACCTACAATCATAATGAAGGTCATTATATTTTTCAGAGCTCCGTTAAAAATTCAGAAAAGTATTGGGGCATAAAAAAGTTAAAGAATAATAATTTCAATTTTACAAGTAAAGCTATAGATATATTTAATTGTTCAAATGAATCAGCTGAAAATCATGCATTAACTAGTGTGATAATCTTTGATGGACCACTTAAAGAGATTGAATTTTACTGTTATATGGGTTTTGATTGCTCTCATAAAGTAGAATTCTCATTATCGGTTGATCATTATTCTTTTTTTATAGAAATTACAGAAACTTTTAGAATTACAATATTTTATAAAGAAACACCTAAAATTAAACATTCAGTGCATAAATTGAGTGATTCTAAAAGAATCTCTAAACTTGATCTAAAAATTTCTAAAAATGGCTATAATACTTTGAAACCAGGACCCTATAAAATAATATATTCTAGAAAAATTAACGGTTTAACTGTTGAAACATATATCGGAACTTTTCATTACATCGGAGCACCTTTACAGAAATATCATATTGTTGATAAAAATCAAAAAGAAATTGTAATTTACGGCTATTTTAAAAATGTTGAAAGTGAAAAATTAAAAATAGTAAGTTATTCAACTTGTGATTTTGTTCAACTTTTAAATCAATCTTTAGGACAAAATAAACATGATGATATATTAAATGAAGTTTTAAACAGCGTTATTGATTGTAAATATCATGATGATTATAAATTAATATGCAATTACAAAAAGTCCATCATAAATAAATTTGATCTATGTTGGTGTTATGAAGTGGAGAAAGATTTATGTAAAGTTTTAAAAAATATAAATTCAAAAATAACAGAAATTTCTTCTTTATCGACTTCTATGAGTGCAGTATTACAAATAACTAAATCATCACACACTAAATTTATTAACTATGAGATTAATAATTATATTTTTATAATAGATGATGATTGTACAAATATCAAAAATATTAAAAATAAATCCAAAATGAATACAGAAAAAAATATTTTAGGTATTTATACAGAACTAAAATCTCCCCAAAAATATGAATTATGTGTTTGTACTATAGAACAAAATGTAACATGTGAAAAGGAAAATGAATATAAAAGTGTTACTGTTTTAATGAACAGTTCAACTTCTCACACAATAAAATCAACTAATTTAAATAATTTTAATAAAGGAAACAATATAGTGAAAGATTTTGATTTCAAATTAGATTATATTGATAACTTAAAAAAAAATATAATTCCAGTATTTGTTTTCTTACCTGGTCCTGTGGAATATAAGGAATTTATTTGTATGTCTGGAGTACCATGTAATGCTACTGTAAAAATAAAAAGTTCATTAAATATTATAGGAAGTAACGATGCCAATAATAAAAATAACAATAATAATGCTGTTAATGCCAATAATGCTTCTAATGTTAATGGTAACGTTAACAATTCCGGTGTTAATAGTGATAAAAATGGGTTATATAAAAATATAAATTCAATTTTTTTTATATTAAGTGATAGTAAAGATTGTGAAGATAACTACAATGTAATATATAAAAGTGAAATAGGAAGTATTTATGTTATTCAAGAAATAGAGCATTTAGAGTTTCAATTTATAGATGGAGTTTATAACTTAAAAATAGACATCGTACCTAAAGATGTAACTAAAACTTATGAAATATGTGCATCGTTTCACTTTAATGATAAACATTATTATAATGTTGGTAATATTGTGTTTTACGGAATATTTAATGATAATGATCAATATGAAGCAATTTCCGGTTTTCCTTTTAGCTTAGAAATAAAGCAGTTTTATTCAAATTTTAATTTATACATTAGATTTATCTATAAGAAATATGGAGATATAAAAACATGCAACAAAAAAAATCGTCATTTTGAAAAAATCATCATTGGTGACTCAGTTGAGAACGCATTAAAATATCATGAATTAGAAAAAATAGATGATAATTTTATAAACTACAAATGGAACAATATAACAATTATTTTAGATATTGATAATTTTGATTATATGACTTCTTCTCAAAACAAAGATGGTTCTCATAATATAGTTATATGTTCTTGTTATGAATTAGAAGATGGCCATTGCGACTCTGATGATTTTTTTACATCCGAAGTTATGACATTACACATGCACACAGCTATATTAAAAGAACCTCGAATTAACTCTACAGTAAACTTTCTAAAACCTTTTACACTTAAATTAGAAACTTCTAAAACACTAAATGGTTCAATCAAGGTTTTTCCAATTGATATAATGGAAGATTTAAATAAATTATGTTTAGAATTAAATCAAAGAAAGATGTTTTCAATATACAAAGCAGAAATAGATGAACACGAACAGATATATAATATACTTACTAATTTTCTTGCTCAAGGACTTGTTATATGCTGGTGCTCCAAAGATAAATGTAATGATAATGATTATTTAACTAAAGTTGCCTTTTTTAAAATGAATAGTCCTAACTTTTTAGAAGTTGATACAGATTTATATGGCTATTTTTCTTTCTATTTATTAAATGAATATATAAATATAAATGATAGAGTTATATTTGTAGATAGCAAATCGATGTGCTCAGATAATAATAAAGTAAATTTATTTGGATATAATATTCAGTTAGATAATGATAATTATGTTATGACGTGGGAGCAAAGTATAGAAATATATGGAAAGCCAGAGAAAATAGTGAGAGAAATAGATCAAAAGCCTATATGGGTTTCTAAAAAATATAAAATATCAAATGTTGAAGAAAAATATATAAAAATATGTTACTGCTTTTATTTTTATGATGAAAATTGTAAAAATACTAAAAATTATATATATGTAGGATTAATATATAACAATACTTTAAAAAAAAAGATTACTAAAAGTATTGTAAGTAATGATTCCATCGATGAAACAAGTAATTTGCATTATTTTAGTAAGGATGCTATAAAATTTGTAGCACTAAGTTCTTTTAATGATTATAATAGAAACATATGTAATAACAACAGTACTCAATATGATATTATGCCTTTTCGCAAAATTAATGCTTTTAATTATTCTACTCCTACATTGAGAATATTAAATATTTTTAACAAAAGTTATAGAAATGAATTAAATTTTACTGTATGTTATAACAATTTTTTTTTTGGAAATAAGACAAGGTTTTCACTAAAAGGGAAAGATATTAGTGATATAAATTCTCACGAAAAATTTGTTGAATATAATTATGAACTAAGCAAATTAGGATTTACATATGATTCGAAAGTAGAAAATATAATTATAAATGATCCAAATATTACAAAAAGAAAAAATTTAGAGTTATCGTTAAATAAATATAAATCAGAAAATAGTATTTTTAGGAATTATTTTTTTATAGAAACACCACTTATTCACAGTATTTCTAATATTTATAGAAATGAATATATAGGATATAGTGACAAAGCAGACATAAGAGAAAAATTAAAAAATATATTAGATCAAATAAATGAAGATTCAACTGTTAATCTAAATGAAACTATATACTACAAAAACAAAGGAGAATTATTAACTAACTTTTATTTAGAGAAAATAATAATTGTAAACAAAAAAAAATTTATCTTATGTTGCAATAATGGAGATTATGTTGAAGTAGAAATTAATAATAAGAAATATGAATTTAAATATTCCCCTAAAGTTGACGTACTAATTAATTCTTTAAAAAGTTATCATCCCGATTTTGAAAAAGATGAAAAATTTCAAAATGCTATATTAGAGCAATTTAATGATTTAGTTTCCAAATCCAAAAAATATAACTATTTAAAAATAAAAAATCCTAATGATGTAGGTTTTTATAAAAATCACACATTTATACAAGTAAAGGATACTATTTTCACAGTAATGATCAATGGAAATAATATTCCTGATCATAAATATATATTGTATATAATTGAATTTAATAATAGTTGTTATAATTTAGATAAAAATTTATTTTTTATTGAAAGCAAACTTTTCACTAGAGAGAATAACTATTTAACCTTTAGGGATATTTTTGTAAACAAAATAAACAATTACAAATTGTGTATATTAGATAGTACATACAATGTTTATTATAATGTAGGAATTTTAAATGTAACTAACTATTATGTAAATGATGATTCTTTCTTTGGTATTGATAATCTCCCTTCTAATATAAAAAAAAAAAATATTATATTAAATGTTTGCATGAATATAAAATCATACGACGTATTCATCATAAAGAGGAGAGACAGTTTTCGCTTCTCACTTGATATGAAAAAAGTTAGATTTTTTAAAAATATAGACAAATTAATAAAAACTTTTCATGAAATAGAAAATGATGAAGTGATATCTTGTAAAAGTAAGATAGATAAAACTATTATCTTAACAAAAAGTCATATTTTTTTTTACACAAAAAATAAAGAACTTTCCTTCTCAACTAAGCATAATCTACTTTTTCCTGTTGATATAGATTTCGATGATACTTATATATATGTTACCGATTTACATTTAAAAAAAATAGCACGTTTAAAAATTTTAAATAATGGAAATCTCAATTTAAAAAGAAAAAAAAGAGATATATATAATAATGAATTAAAATTGAACAAATTCGATTTAAACATAAATAATAAGAAAACATTCAATAAAAATTCCTTTCGTGATAATTTAAATAAAAAGCATAATTTCCAACATGAGGATACATTGTCTTATGGAAAATATCCAAACATTTATAATAAACAACCTGAAATAATTAAGAAAAAATTACTAATAAATAAATTATCAAAAGGAGAAGATATCATACTTAATAAAAATAAACAAAATGATAATAATAATTTAAGTAACTATTTCCTAAAAAATTTTAATTTAAATAAATTAAGAAGTGCTATTAAGAATGAAGAGAATCAAATTGTTTATTTAGAACAAAGTAACAGAAAGAACTCAACAAATGATATAAAAGGAGATGAACAAATAAAATTTAAAAACCATGTTTTAAAAAATTATTTTGATACTTCAAAAAAAAAAAATAAAAAAGCATATTTAGTGAAAAAAAATTTTAAAAAATTATATAATTATTTTCAAGAAAAGAAAAATAATAATATCTTAAGTCACTATTTACATAAAATAATAAGCGATAAAAACATATCAAAAAAAGGAACTCTCCTATACAACTTTATTGAATATATCAAAAACAAAAAAGAACCTCTTGAAGAAAAAGAAGTAGATCAAAAAGTGGAATCTTTATATAATATGAGAAATGATATAAAACAAATAAATAAACAAAATATAGATGATTCAAAATTCAAAAGTAGTAATCTCATGAGAAAAAAAAGAAGTGCAACATATAATATAGATCAATCAATATATGATAAAATAATTCAGAGAAACATTAAAAAATTTACAAATATTGTAGAAACTCCAAAATATTTACCTAATAATCTAGATTATCTTAATTTAAAAAATTTAAAAAATCCTTTATATATTAGCATACATAATGATTTATTGTATGTTTTAGATTCTAGCAAAAATAATTTTTTCAGTTACAATTTAAAAAATAATAAAATAATAGAATTGGAAGAATATAACTTTTCATCAAATATTTTAACGTTAAAAAATCCCCGAAATTTTTCAATATATCAGGGGGAAATAACTGAACACACTACTCACAGAACTAGTCTAGCATTTGTAACACAAATAAACAGTAATGAAATAAAAATTATTGATTTAAATAAGGAAAAATACAAAATTATAAAATCATTAAAATTAAGAAAAGGTTATAAACATAATAATATAAATAATGTAATAGGAATTGATCAAAAATTACTAATTATTACATCACAGATATATGATGAAAATTTAATTTATCATTATCACTTTAACTCATTTGATAATTATTTTAATATATCTTTTCATTATACATTTGCAGAAAACTATAATTCAAATGATAATTTAAATGTAAAACCTGAAATAGGTAAATATAGTGATTCTATAATATTTTTTTGTTTTTTAAAGTCAGATAATAAATGTACAAATGTAGATGAATTAACTAATTTAAATATTTCATATGACACAGGCATAATAACCGGAAAGTTGAATTATTTTGGAAATTTTCAATTACAAATATTTGCAAAAACTCATTTTCAGTATAAAATTAATACATATAAAAATTTATACTCTTATTGTGATGTTGCTAAAGAATATAATAAAGAAAAATCTATTTGTGAAAGTTGTCCAATAGGGACATTTTGGAATAGAGAAAAGTTATTATGTGAAAAATGTGACGAATACTTTAAAAATACTTCTACACTAAAAATAGGGTCCAAATTAATAACTGATTGTTTATGCTCAGCTGGATATGAATATTCAGATAAGACTGCTAGCTGCGAACAATGTAAACCAGGATACTATAAAAAATCTGTCGGTAATTTTATTTGTATTAAAGGATGTCAAATTAACGAGAAAAGCGTTACTTATGGAGCTACAAGTTATAAGAAAATGTTTTGTAAATGTGTTGAAGGATATTATAGAAAAAATGATAAATGTGTTTTATGTTTAGAAAATCATTATTGTCCAGGAAATGATGTATTAACTGCATGTGATAAAAATAAAATATCTAAAAAGGGAGCTAGGTCAGCTAATGATTGTGAATGTGAAGAAAATTTTATTTTAAATAATAAAAATGGAAAATGCTCTTATTGTGCATCTATTGCTAAGGTTATTGATGATGTTATTTATTGCTCATTATGTAATCCAAAATATTTAGATATAAATGTTTTTCGAACACCATTTAAACATAATTATGGTTTAGTAGATTCTACGTACAATTATAATGAAGACTTTGTTTTGCAAAGTAAAATAATGAAATATGCATATTTTAATAAAAATAATGCAGAAAAAAATTTTTTTAATTATATAACTATTAATCACAAACAAAATCAACTAAAAAATAATCAAAATATGCAAAAATTCTCCATAGAAGTTGATGTGGCGGATGTTAAAAAATGTTTATTTTGCGAAAGTGGATATTTTATTAACCATGAAAAAAATAAATGTATTCCATGCAATAATAAATATTGTGAAGGTTTTTCATCTGTTCCAAAAGATTGTCCTAAAAATTCTATTGTAATAAAAAAAAATTCTTCTTCTATTTTTGATTGCTTATGTAAACCGGGTTATGGATCTTCAAATGAAAGAAGAAATGGGCTTAATAAAAAATTGAGCTGTGAAATATGTCCAATGAATTTTTTTAAGCATACCATATCAGACAATTTTTGTATGCCATGTCCTCATTTTACTTATACATTATCAGAGGGATCAACATCAATATTCAACTGTTTGCCAAAAAAAGGATACTTTCTTTATATGTTTAGAAATATAGATATAGATTATTTACGATATAAATTTGATATAAATTCTGAAAATGGAATTTATAGTTTTTTTGAGAACAATGATAAAAATTTTGATAATGACATTTATGATTTATTTTTGGAACAAAATTTCAAGGAATTGTTTGACAATATGAATAACAATTCGAATAAAAATACTCAAAGTAAAAAATTCAATAAACAATCAAATAACCAGATAAATAATCAAAAAAATGTTGCAAATAATAGCTACAACTTAAAAAAATTAGAAAGTTTAGGTTTTTTAAAAAAAACATCTATATTTCATATATATACTAGCCTTTTAAAAAATATAGAACAAAAATATATGTGGATGACTGATAATATGTTAAGAGTTACTTGTCATGTAAATCTAAATTTTAAAAAAAATCCTAATTTTACAATTACATATAAACCCAATTTGAAATCTTGTATTGATGATTGCAAAAAAAATATATACTGTACAGGCATAGAATTTTCAAGAAAAAATGTAGAATACACGCAAATATTTTTAAAAAATAATCAGAAAGTAATTGTTGGTTATTTTAAATGTAAAAATTTTTATTTTCAAAATATATATGAATACACTTCGTCAAATATAGGGAATTTTTTAAATAAAAATGTTGAAAATCAAATAGCTACAAAAAGTACTCTAGAATATACAAATTTTTTATTAAGAAATAAAAAAGATATCATTTTTACATGTTCTATTGATAGAGACAGAAAATATCTATTGTATAAATCCTATCAAGTTGTAGAATGCTTTATAGGTAAATTTTGTCCAGGAAATAAAACTCCATATTTAGTTTCTTGCCCAACTAATTCCACAACGTTAGTAAATTTAGCTACAGATATAGATGAATGTTTATGCATAAAAGGTTATGCATATGTAGGAGTTTTATCTAATAGATGTGCAGTTTGTGACAGGGGAACATACAAAGAGACAATAGGAAATGTTAAGTGTGAAACTTGTCCTTTGACATTTTCAACAGTTAATACAGGTTCAACAAGTGTTAATGATTGTTCTTGTACTCCAGGAAATTATCTTACCTTCGATACATTAGGAAACTTTGTTAACTCAGAGAACATAAATTATAAAAACATTCATAATAAATACTTTATTATTCCAAAGAAAAAAGAAAAAGAATATTACATAACAGAGGTAAAAAAAATAAGTTTCAATGGATTCAATGATAAAGATGATAAAGATATTAAAAAAATATTAAAACTTCATGTAGGAATATGTAAAGCTTGTTCTCTTGATAATCATTATTGTGAAGGAGGGTTAGAATCAAATATTATCTTTAACAATACAGTTATAGAAGGAATATTTCATACATTGCCAAAAAAATGCCCTAAAGAACTAGTGATTCCTCGAGGAATAAAGCAAAGGACTTCTTTAAATAATTGTTTATGCATTCATGGAAAAGTTTTAAGAACATCAAAAGACAAAACTATAGAATGTTTTCCTTGCCCCCCAAATACATTCAAAGAAAGTGAATATGACAATAGTTGTTCAGGAGCTTGCCCGCACTTTTCTACAACATTTGTAGGTTCATCATATGAAAATCAATGTTTCTGTAAGAACAATTATTATTTAATAACTCCAGAAGATGAACATGCAGAAAATAGTAAATCTAAAAAAAGTTGCAAAGTTTGCCCCAAAGGAGCTGTATGTAATAGAGGTTTTAATATCTATGTTTTTTTAAAACTATTAAATGACAGAGCTTATAATGACATAAATATCTTAGATCACGAAAATCCTTACCCAATTAATGGGTACTATGCAGTATACAAAGTAAAAAATTCATATAAACCTTGGAATCCATTAGATGATAATGATGATTTAAAATACACTTATCCATATTATAGTTTAATGTTATTTATTCAAAAGAATATTGAAAACAAAAATTACTTCTTCTTTGAGAAAAATCAAAAATATTATTTGAATGAGGAATTCCTAGAAAATATTAATAAAAGAGATAAAATTAAAAGTAAATCGAATAAAAGTGATAAACAAAGAAATTCATATAATACTTCATTTAAACTTCAAAATTCATTATCATTTTTTCAAAGTGAAGAAAAATATCATAAATTGCAAAGAGTATCTAAAGGAAGGATCATAAATTTTAAAGAGGTTAACATATCGGATACATCAAATCTAGATTCTTCTTTGTTAACTAATCAAGATATAAATTTCTCTTTTTTAGAAACCAATGGAAATATAAGTAATAATACTAATAATAGCGAGGAATATTCTTTAGAAATATTTAGTAAGTATATAAAAGAGGCAAATGAATTAAAAAAAATAAATAGCAAATTTGAAAGATTACCTGATATACATCCCTGTACTCTACCAGATAGATGTTTAGGAACAATAGCAAATTTATGTTCTGAAGGATCCACTGGATATCAATGTAATAATTGCAAAAAAAATTATGATACAAGTTATTTTAAATCAAAGTGTTATAGATGTAAGAATTTATTATACGAAGTATTGCATATTATATTATTGAAGCTTTTATATTATTTTATTGTTATTCTTATTGTGTCACTGAACTATAATAGTTGTATAAATAAATTGTACATCAGTGGAATATTAATAAAAATTTGGTTTAATTGCTCCTTTAGCTTTATCGCTTATGGATTTTTTTCTCCTAATACACAATCGTTTATTGCAAAATATCTGTACCTATATAAGATGGTATTTCTTTTTCATTTAAAATTTTTTTCTTATTACTTAAGGATTGGATGTTTTTTTAATTATTATAATATTGATGTATCTTATAATAACATATGGTATATACAAAAATACATGAAAATATTTTCACCACTTATAGATGGTTTTTTTATAACTTTCATTTTATTTATAATTGTTCAAATATCTAAGTTTTACTACAAAGAAAAAATACGGAATTTTGAAAATTTATTATCTCAAATTCCAGATTTAAGAGATGAATATAAAAAGGAAATTAAAGAAGAATGTACTCAAAAACAAGAAGAAAAAAAGAAAAATAAAAAAAAAATTCATATAATTAATGAATTAGAAGAAAAGGAAATAGTTAAATCTGATAAAAGCACATTAATACATGATTTAGAAAAAAATAATAACACATTAAACGATGTTAAACAAAATAACAAATCACTTTTAAATAATATCAAAAATAAAGGTGATAGAATGAAAAAATTTAAAATTAAAAGAAAGGACAAAAATGAAAAACACCAAAAAGAAATAAATGAAAGTGTAAATAAGAAAAATGAAGAAGACATAAAATATAAATTAAAGTATATAAAAAATGATGAAATATATAAAACATTCTTAAAAGAGACAATTGAATATATTTATAATATAAGAATCTTTGGTCCATGGCGCTTTATGAACAAAAGAAATGAAACTTTTAGAAAAAAATTAGCAATGTTTTTAAGTGATAATTTGCCATGTTACGTTTTAATGACTGTTTTATCTATACCTTACGTACTTCTAGAGTTGATTCAACTTTTATATTGCAAGCCTGTAGGTTATAAATCACAGAAAAAAGAACTATATTTAACCTATTTAACTACTCAAAAATGTTCCTTATCTCATAGATCCTTTTTATTAAGTATGGTTGTTATACTATTAACAACATTTTTTTATTTAGGAATCTGCTTTATTTTATCACTTTTATACATTAAGAGAAAAAAAATCTCATTGTTTAATTCTTTATTAAAAAATTTATTAGCAGGATATAGACAAGGAAAAGCAATATTTGAATTATTATTTTTGTTGAAGAATACTATTTTAGTTTTTATTATAGCTTTTAATGTCCACTATCAAATGTATTATATAGTCTTGGTTACATTAACATTAACAATATTTGCCATTTTTGAGATACTTTATAGTCCTTTTGATAGAAGATCTTTTAATATTCTTAATAAATCTTTATGCGTTGGTAGTGTTTTAAACATTTTTTTTTCTTTGATTATGTGGGGAAGCTTTTATTGGGATTATGAAAAATTCTCATTATTTCCTATTTCAATTATTCTATTTTATCATCTGTTTATGCTTCATAATGTTGTAAAAGAAATAATACTATCTAGACATTTTATGAACAAAGAAACTCTTATTAATATAGAAACAAGTAGTTATGAAGAAGACAATATAAAAAGCAAAAATTACAAAATATATTATAAAGTTATGAATAAAATTAAATTTTTTTTGAATAAAAATCAAAAGAAAAAACTATCAAAAATGGTTGAAAGTAATGTATATTTAAATAAAGCAGATAATGCATCAAAACATGACATCAAATTTGAACCTATAGAAAATATTATTAAAAGATATAATCTTAAATTAAATTCGTACCTTATTAATGATAAAAATAATAATATTAAAATTGAAGAAAATAAAAATGAAAAAGAATTGTTTAATATTAAAAAAAATGTATTACCAGTTAATATACATAATGTAGCATTTATATGGTATGATGATCAAAATGAAGATTTGTTATTTCAAATGCCTTATGAAAATAAATTTTGTTATGATCTTAATGGAGAAAAGAGGAAAAAAAAAAAGAAAAAAAACTTTTTACGTATATTCTCAGATTATATTAGAGATAAAAGAAAAAAAAAAAATTTTAAATATTTTGTCTTAGCACTAGTGGAAATTATTGAAAAATTCATAGATGTATCAAGATCGTGTTCTATATACGAAAATTGGTTTGATTTTTCTATCCGATTTTCTTTTGTTTATATATCTTGGATTAAAAATCTTAACAAAACAAAATCACTTTTACCAAGTAACATGGATCAATTACATAAAAATATGGATCAATTTATTTTTAAGGCCCTATTTTATGAAAACGATATGATTATTAGAGAAGAAAAAATTTCAGAAGATTCTTCAAACATAAATAATAAAGACTTAAAAAATGAAGAATGTATAGAAACACTTGAAAAAAAAAATAGTTTTGAAAATACAGAAATAAAAATTAGTCGTAGTTTTGGTTCTTACAATAAATTAGGAAGTCTAAAAAATAGGAAAAAACATGATGAAACAGTTAAGAATGAAGAACTTAAAGAATATTCCATTTTAGGAAACGATCATGACTCACTATATTTATCTAAGAATGAAGAAGGAAAAACACAAAATAAAAAGGAAAATGAGAAAAAAGAAATATATAATATAAATAATTCAACAAAAAAATCTAACAAAGAAATATCTGAAAAACATTTAAATAATATGAAAGAAAATTCTCACTGTTATAAGGAAGAAGAAAATTCTTCACAAAATATTACTGAGTATTCTATTGATGTTTTTTCTACAGAAATGTTTAATGAGGATATTTTTAAAATGCTAATTTCCTTGTTTGAATTATATATTGCTATGAAAACATTAAAATCATTGAACTCGGATATTTTGAGTAAACTTTATAAACGTTATAACGAAAAATGTATAAATTTTGAGACAAGTGTAATGTTTAATATAAATAAATTAAAAGAAGAATTAAAATTAGAAATAGAAGAAATTAATAATGAAATAAATAATGGAAACAGTATTGAAAAGTTAAAAATGAAAACTTATTATTTTTATAAAGAAGAATTAATTAAAAGAAAAATGCTAGAAGAAGAGTTAATGAATAAAATTAAAAGTTTAGAAGAATGTATTGAAGCAAAAAATAAGTCACAATCTTTAAGAAATAAATTAAAAGATTCAAAAAAAAAAAAAATAAATAATGAAAATGTAGACGAATATTTAAATCGCATATTTTTTCTTTTACAAAATGAAGGAACTTATAAATTAAATCATCCAGAAAATACAGAACAAAAAAGATGAATTATTTCCTTTATAAATTACACATTTATTCTTTTTTTACAAGTTTCAATTTTTTTTCATCCTTTTTTTTTTTTTTTTTTTTTCTGTGTCGTATAATTCGTAAATATTAATTTATTCAATTATATATGTGTTTATAAATATATGTTATAAATTATCTTATATTAAATATCTAAATAATTATATGAAATTTTATATAACAATTGTTAGCTAAAAATAAATTTATTTAAAGTATATATTTACAAAAAAAAATAAAAAAAAAATAAAATAATTAAATTTTTTTTTATTTTCATTTAAATATTTTCTTTTCCATAAAAAAATAACTATCATATATTTTTAGATTATGATTCATTTTATTTTCATTATATATGAAAAGTTCCTTTTTTCTTTTTCTTTACTTTTGATTTTTTTATATATTATGTTTCACTCTTAATTATAGACTTTTTCTATTATATATATATATATATATATATATTACTTTTAATAATACTGTTTTCAAATAACTTGAATTTCTGGTTTTTTTTTGGATGAAATAGCTCTTGAAAGATGCTGATATTCTTCTGGAATTTCTGAATCCGATTCAAAAAAAATATATGATAAAGTAATTTTTTCTAAATTTTTTAATCGAGAGTCATTTAAAATATCAGGGTCAATAAAAAAAAGTACAGGTAAATCAATTTCTTCATTCGCATTTAGCATTTGTTCTTCAAAACAAAAGCATTGAATTTTATTAAAATATAAACCGGCTTCATCAGGTAATACATGATATAATGCTATTCCAATAATTGGTTTATCAAGTAAATTTTTAGCTTTATAAAAGGCTAGAACGGTTTCACCAGGTTTTACAATAATACTTTTTTGTTCTGGTTCGAATACCCAAGGCATATTAGACTGACTTGTAAAATTTATTTCAATCAATCTATTTTTATGATTTTCTTTTTTTTTTAATATTTTATTAATATCTAATTTTTTTTGAATAGTTCCTCCATACCCAGTTGACTGACAAAATAATTGATATAATGGAACAAAAGCAAATGATAAACCAAACATAAATGCAGATATAGATAAATAAACATAGGGAATTTCTAATCTTTCCTTTTTTTCTATAATCATGAAGTTATTAACTTTATTTCGATTTCTTAAATTGAATCTATTAAAAAAATTTTTAATTATACTCATTTTTTTGTGATTTTCATTATTTAAAAACAACAAAAAAAAAAAAAAAAAAAAAAAAATCAAATCAAATAAAAACAAATAAATTGTTATGCTACATTTCCAATGATAACAACTTTTTCTTTAATTACAAAAAATAAAAATTTTTCATTCGTTAAATTATTGTCTCCTTTTTCTTAGTTTGCTAAAACTCTTTATATGATAATTATTCCAATAGTACTATTAAAAAGTAAAAAACAGTTCTTCACATTTTAAAAAATGGGGAATACTTGTTATGAAGAAAAAAAATATATAAATATAAAATATTAGTACCAAATTTAAAAAATAAAATTTCATATATATATATATATATTATGATTTATATATAAGAAAAAAAAAAAAAATAAAATAATTATCAAAATATTTAATATTTTTTTAATTTTCTATTATATAGAGGTTATTAAAAGATAAAAAAAAAAAAAAATAAAAAATAAATAACATGCTACATTATACTTAAAATTAATGATTATTTATTCATTTTTAATTATTTTTAATGTAATGTTTATATTAACAAAAATATTTAAAAACAATTTATGAACATATAATAAAAAAGCACAACTTAAAAAAAAAGTTCAAAAGAATAATTTTTTAATAACTTTAATGTTAAATATATGTAAAGATTTTTATTTTAAGTATGTTATTATAAATCTTAATTTCTTATTTATATTTTTAAAGAATACAAAAGAATTATTTCAAGAATTAATAGAAGATCAATTTTATAAACTTTTTAAATTATTTAAAAAAGAAAACTACAAAAAATATATATGAATTAAAAAAAAAAAATATGTATGGAAAATGTGTTTTATCATAGACTAAATAAATAAATAAATATATATATATATATATATATATATATAAATTGAAAAAAACAAAAAAATGTATAAAAATAAAACTTTTTTCTTTTATTATGTACTATTTAAAAATAAAAAAACTTTTGAATTGTCTAATAGATAATTTTAAGTTAAAAGTATGTATTCAATATATCTGTAAAAAAAAAATTCACAAAATTCCGTAACATAAATTTAAAAGTTTACCTATCACAAAATATTTTTAGTATATATTTACATTAATTAATTAGAACTAAAAAATATTTATATCAAAATAAATATTATTCTAATTTTTTTGGTAATTTGTGATTATATCTTTTATTTTACATAAAAAGAGTAAATTTAGTTAATAATTACTATAATTAATATATATATATATATCATTTCATAATTTTATTTTATTTCTTCCATATTTTTAATATGTTTGTTAAAAAAATATGAAGGATATACATCGGTCAACCATAGAGGATCTATAATAGATGCATTTTTAATAAAAATTTGTGATTGATTATTTGAATATGCATCTATATACACAATGAATTTTCTTTTGTCACATTCAGTTTCGTTTAAAATAGATAAGGGATGAAGAGAAAATAATTTATCACTTTTTTTGTTTAATAATTTGTAATTATTATCACTTACTACTTTTGAAACATTATAAAAAAAGGAAGATATTTTAGCTTTAAATATATATTCTATATTATTTGATTTTTTCATTTCTATGCCAAAATCATTTAATATGTTTTTTAATTTATTAAAGAAATCAGTAGCTTTTTTAATAGAATTATAAACTAAAAAATGATCATAACAAAAGTTTTTTTTATTTTTTGCTTTATTAAAATTTTGAAATATATTATAATAACTTAAAATGTCGCTTTCTTCTGCCATTAAGGACAGCCTCATCGTTTTTAATCTATTTGCATTTTTATGATTAAATGAAAATATAGGTTCATTAATGAGCATACTAACTATAATAGATACTTCGTAAACACATTTATACTTTATACTATTTATTAAAAATATGCTGTACTTAAATTTTAGTGGCAAATAGCATATTAATAAACTTAGTTTTTTATCAATTATATTTCCATTAATATCCATTAATTTTAAAATATAAAATAACTCAAAACATCTTTTCAATGATTTTAACAAAGGTGCAGTAATAAAGTCAAAAGAACATATATTTTTTACTCCTATTGTTTTTAAAAAATATATGTTGTAAAAAATATCTTTTTTTAATATTTGAGGTAAGGGGTATTCATTCATTAAGTTAAGGTAATCATTAATTGTTATAAGTCGAAAGCAAGTGGAATTATTTGAAATGAAATTTCTTTCTTCACATTTATTTTTATTACTTAATACAGTATATTTATGTGTTACATTAAGATCATAATCATAAATTTCATCCTTCATGTAACAAGTATCTATTATATATTTTATGTTTTTTAATTTCCTATAAAATGTCATATCCTTTAATATTATAACTTTGTTATTTAATTTATTTATATCAAAATCATTTGTATATTTATCTTTTATTATTTCAATATAATTACTTGATATATTCTTATCCTGTAATCCATTTTTTACTATTTCTATTTCATAGTCGTTATTTAAGATTATTAGAATATTTTCATTAGTTTTTTTATTTTCAATTAATTTCTTAATTAAATCAATACTTGTTTCTAAGTAATTTGAACATCTTTTTTTTAAATAATATATTTTGTTATTCTCTATATCGTTAGTTCTATTATCTTTCCTTCTATTATTATAACTAATATTGTTAGATAAATGAAAAACAAATATACGTATAGAATTGTTAACTTTTTCTAACTCTTCCGTAAGTTTTTTCCATTCATTTAATTTGCAAATTATATTTTCTTCATTCTCTAACACTTTATTCAGTTCATTTTCATCATAATCGTTTTTGTAATCGAATATTAAGGAATGGTTAACTGAATCCTCAAACAGACAATTTAATACTTTTTTTTTTTTTTTTTTTCTTTCTTCCTCTTCATCGTTAACTTCATCTTTTTCTAGTATCCATTGTTTTCCTATATGTGAATCATAGGAAGAATAATGTTTTTCATTTAAATAAGTAAAATTTTTTTTTTTTTTTTTTTTTTCTTCTTCACTTGATAAAGTGTTACTCCTACTATTTACATAACAATTTTTTTTATTTATTAAATCTTTCAATTTCATATTTTTTATGGAAAAATATTTTCGTTCTTGTTCATTTTTTTCTGAATCATCATATTGACCCTTTTTATTATTGGATTTTTTCTTCTTATAAATGTGTCTTTTTGAACATTCTAAACTACTATTTCTTAATTCATTTTTCTTCCTTACTTTCTCTTCAACAATATCTTTGTATTTTTTTTCATATTTATTATTTTTCATATTTTCATTCTTGTATTTTCCATTACTATCTTTTATACAATTATCATCATTACATTTATCATATTTATCATCTTTTTCTTTTTCATGTTTATTATTATTTGCTTTTTCACTTTTTTCATTATTTTTGTTCTTATGTTTTTCATCGTCCTTTTTTTCATGATTTACATTATTTTCTTTTTCTTCGTTATATATTGTTTTTTCATATTTGAAATCTCTATATATATTATTATTTTCCTTTTTTTTTTTTTTCTCTTCAAGTTTTAATGTATTTGTAAAATTTTGTTCAATTATTTCATCATGATTTATTTCTTTATGCGTTGATAATGTTTGATTAAAAATGTTTAAGTTATTATAAGAATTAAAAAAGTTAAGAACATTTTCAATAAAAAAATCTGAAAAAATAAAAATAAATAAATCAGTTCTTTTTAAAATTATCTTTTTTAACAACGATAAAATTAAATCTGTCTTTGAAAATCTTTTATGAACGTTTGTTAATATTATTATATTAAACTCAATTAAAATAGGATCAAATAATATTTTTTGTAATAATTTAGATTCATTTAAGAAAATAATTTTATTGCTTCTAATGGAATCTACATCTTTATCATTTAAAAAGAAAAAGTAATCTTCCATATCATCTGGAATTATATCACAATAGTTAAAATAAATCTTATCAGAAGCTGTAATGCATATTTTTCCACTTTCATTTAATGTATGAATTTTCTTTTCATACAAAATATTAACTAGTCTTATAATCTCGTTAAATTCTAACTTTCCAATAACAAAAAAAACATTATGAATTTTTAGTAAATTTATTATATCATTTTCAAATTTTTCAAAGAGTAATTTTTTTTCATCTTTCTTATATATTATATAATTTTTCATATTTAAATGAAAAAAAAAAACAAAAATAAAAAATTGGTTAGTATGTGTATGTTTATTCTATTTTATCTTGTTACATGATACTATTTTTTACTTTTTTTTTTTTTTTTTGGATAGAAGATAATTGTAAAAAAAAAAAAAAAAAAAAAAAGTTTAAAATTAAAAATGTTTTAGAAAAAATTTATTCAAATAATTAATATAAGAAAATTATATATTTATTATTTAAAATTTAAAAATTAAAAATGTTTACTTTAAAAAAGTTATTATTTTAATTAAAATATCTTAAATTTTCCAAAAAAAAAAAAAAATACAAATTAAAATAAAAATAATATAGAAATAAATGTTATATTTAAAACTAATATGGAATATTGAAAATGTGAATTCAATACTTTTTTGAAAAAGGAAATAAAAAATATTAAAAACAAACATAATAATTGTAATAATAATAATAAAAATTTATATTTTTTTTTGTATATTCTTGATTACATAAAAAAAAAAAAAAAAGAGGAGATTATTTTAATTCTTTTTTTTTTCTAAGTATTTAATTTCCTTAAATATATAAAATAAAATTGAGAAAAAATATAAATTAAGGACAATCATAACATATATATGTATATATTTTTTTTTTTCTTTTTTGTTTGTTTGAATTAATTTAGTTGAAAAATGAATTGTAATTGTTTTATTAGAAGTGATGATAAGATATTTAAATCTACACAATTATCTTTTTTGTTTTTTAAAATCTGTTGGTATACTTGTTCAAATAAGAAATTTGATTCATTTATAATTGAATTTTGTTTTTCATTGTTGTTTATCTTAAAAAATATTTTTATTTTTTCAATAGGTATTTCAATAACATTTATTTTATAATTCTTATACAAATATAATTTTTGTACAAGTATATTAATATCACTTCGATAATTATAATCAAAAGAAAAATTAAATTCTTTCATGTCACCATTATTTAATTTAGTTTCCTTATAAGAATTTTCTTCCATTTTATACTCAGAAAATTCTTTTTTTTTTATTAAAACACTACTATCATTCATAATGAAATTATTCATCCTATAATTTCTTGAATTTTTTGAAATATTTTTGTCTTTTGTAAACAAAATACAAAATTTCATAAAAGGAAAATATATATTCAATACAAATAAATTATTTAACTCATAATTTTTAAAAAAAATATTATCTACATTATTAAATTTTAGTTTTGTCACATTTAAACTATTGAGAACTTCAGAAAAATGAAATAAATCGTAACTATATGCATTTTTTTTTTGTTGAAGAAAAAAAAATTGTCTTAAATAATTTAATATATTAATTTTGTAAGAAGCATCTAAATAATTCATTTCATTGTTACTATTTGTAGTACCATCTTTTATTTCATAATATGAGGTATTTTCAATATTTTCTAAGGTATTCTCATTTCTTTCTATTTTTTTTAGGTTTTTATCTATTCTTATATGTATCGTATTGTTATCATAATTTTTTCTATGCTTTATTCTTCCTTTATTATTTTCAAAATTGTTTTTCTTAATTAAATTTTGATTTATATTTATATTACCTTTATCTGATAATTCTTTGTTTTGAATTTCATCATGAAAAAAATTATTTTTTATTTTGTTAGAAACTTTTAAAAACAATAATGGGTAATATATTTCCAAAAATAAAAAGCAATAATAAAAAAGTATTTGTTTTTTTACGTTATTTAAAATTTTATCTATATCATCAAAGCATATATGAAATAATGAAATTATTAACTGTTCATAATTTTGTTTGTGTTTATATGAGCACAAACATAATAGTATATCTAATGAGAAAATAGAATTATCGACTAATTTTTGATTACATGAGATAATATCTATTAAAACATTGAACAAATTTAAATGAAAAATTCTCGATAACCATATACTTCTAAAAATTAATATCAATTGTTTTTTTGAAACAGTTACATTTCTAAGAATTCTAAAATATATATCTGTATATAATTCACTAATAATATATATATTTGTGTTGGTATTAATAATAAAAAAAATTAAATCTAATATTTGATTAATTGTTAATAATTCTAATTTTATTTTAATATTTTTACTATTTTTTTCATTCTCATTATTTGTATTTGGAATAGTGCTATTTTCATTTTTTATAATGGAAGAAATATATATATTTTTTTTTTCTTTTGCATTCATCTCTAGTAATACAGTTTTATTATCTTTAATTAAAAAAGTATAATTGTTATAATTACAAATATTATTACTATTAGATAAATAATATTTTTTTTCCTTGTTAAAAGCAGTTTTCTCCTCATTAGATGAAAAAATAAAATGATATATGGGATAAAAATATTCTTTTCTGCAGTATTCATACAACTTAAACTTATTTATAATGTTTATTAATTTAGAAATATAATTAAAGTAACATGGAGTATACATATAATTATTTGCTTTTAACTTTCTAAAAAAATGCAAAATCATAACTAAAAATATTTTTCTTTTTTTTTTATTTATTAAATATTCCATATTTTTAATTAAATCAAGAATTTCTGTATGTGTTAAAAAATTAATTACTTTTTTATAATGTTTTAAAAATAATTCAGAAAACAGCTTGTTACTGGAATTAAATCTTAATTTATTTAATAAAAAGAAAATTTGACAGAACATTGTTGGATGTATGTGATTAAAGTTTAATAAAACTAATTTTTTCAACATAATTTTTTTTATAACTTTATTGTAACTTATTAAGTCACATAATGTAAATATACTTTTAATACTATTTTCTAATGAATTGTTTTCAAAATATATTTCTAACTTTTTTCTTAAATAAAATATTAATTGCTTATTATAACAATTGTAAATTGTATTCTGTAAATCAATGTTTTTTATTATAAAATTACTCTTAAACAGAGATAAAAAAAACAATACGTTTTTAATTTGATAATTTTTTAAAAAATCTGAGTTTAACCATATACTATAGAACAAAACATTTATATTATATAAATCAGTATATTTTGTAACATATATAACTTGAAGAAACTTAAGAATATTATCACAATCATATAAAATAAAATAATGACACATATTTTTAAAAAATAATTTTACATTATATCCTGTATTTTTATATAAATTTAAAAAGCATTCTTCATAAAAAGATTTCTGTTTTAATAACGAGATTTCATTATCATCTCCATTTTCTTTGTTATTAAAAGTAAAATCATTAAAAAATTTTAAATTATCATTTGAATTGTGTTTTTTATCACTTTTTATATTTTTTTTTTTAACATTTTTTATCTCTGTATTATTACTTACAAAAATGTTATCATTTTTATTATTCATTATAAAATTATTTATATGTTCATTATTGTTGTTTTCTAAAATATTATTATTACTTAAATAATTCACACTTTTTTTTATAAAATCATCTTCATGAGTATTACTATTTATTAAATAGTTATCTGATGTGTTACATGAATAATGATTTTTTTCAATTCTATGAGTCATCAAATGGTTAAATATTATATCTTTTATTATATATTTTTTTACATGATTATTAATTAAAAAAAAATTTAAATTCATGATTTTTCTTTCACTAAAAGTTTCATCGAATATATTTTCACATAATATTGCTATACAATCAAATAAGTGAGATATATTTTTATTTATATTTGATGAAAATAGAATATTATTACTAATAATTTTATTTAATAAAAATAAGGAATTAAAATATAAGCAAACTATATAACTATAATCATGTAAGTCGTTTATGTTATTATTTCCTTTACATACAACTTCCATATGGGTTGATTCAAATGCAGATAAATTATTTTCTTCTGGAAGTTGCTTCTTATAAATATTTCCATTAATAGTATCTTCTTTTTCATTTTTTATACTATTCAAGTTATAATCATTAACATTTTTAATTAATTCATTTACTTTTGTTTTTTTTAAAAATAAAAAAAAAAATTCTGATATGTCAGGTAAATTATAATAACTTACCTGATTACTTAATAATATTAATAATTGCAATGAATTTTTGACGTTATTTTTTGTTAAATAAAAAATATCTTCATTTGATATATTTACAGAATATATATTTTCTGACTTGTTTTTTTTTTGATTAAGTATCTCATAATTTTCCAAGAGATTTAATTTTATAAATAGAAGGGTATATTTGTATAATAATTTATAATCAAAAAAATTAATGTATGGAAATGAATAATTAAAAAAATAGACTATAAATTTATTTAGAGAAAAATATATTTTAAAGGAATATGAAGTGTTGTTGTATGTATTCAAATTTTTTTCAATAAAAAGTATATATTTTTTGATTATATCTAAGTTATTTATAATGAATTCATGTTTTTCTAGTATATTATTTGGAGAATTTAAAAAATCATTTAATTTATATCCGCTTTTATTAAAAGAAAAATCTTTTCTTTTTAAATTTTCTATTGAGAAATGTAATAAATCATAAAAATTATTAAATTTATTAATTAAAATTTCTTCATTACTTTCTATTTGATTTATTTTAAATATTTTACTACTTTCATTATATATTTTTTCTTGTTCTAATATTTGTTTTATATCTTTATCGTTCATGTAAAATTTTAATAATTCTTCTTTTAAGTGATTCTTTTTCAGAGTAATATTTTCATAAATTTGTTTTAAAATATTTTTTTTTTCTTTTTTAGTGTAATAATTGACATTTTCTAGTAATTTATTGTTAGTATATTCATTTTTTACTATTTTGTTATTTTTATAGCATTTATAATGAATAAAATTACTATGAATTTTTAAAAAAAAAGACTTTTTTATTTTCATTTCTGTTTTTCGAGTACGGATAAAAATAAATAAATAAAAGACTTCATATATAGATATATTCCTTTTATTATAAAATAACTTTAATAAATACTCATTTATTTATTGTGTTTTTTTGATTATGTTTTAAAACAATAAAATGGGATATTTTTTTATAGCTATTTATATAATATACCAACAGAAGATCATAAAAAATATTACAACACTTATCCCCAAATTTTTTCTTTTTTTTTTTTTTTTTTATTTGCTACTTTCGTAGAATGATTTAATATATAATTAAAACAAGAATATACATTTCTTACATTTTTAAATGTTTTTATGAAAATAAAAAAATTAATATTTATTATTTTTAAGTCTGGTAGCTAAAATATAGCCAATGTAATTTTAAATAATAAATAAAATTGTTAAATGAATTGGAGTTCTTAAAATATTCATGTACTTTGTTATCATTTAAAATTTCTAAAACATATAAACAAATAGGAAAATGAATGTAAAAGATATATGGCTTACTTCTCCAATAATTTAAATATTTTAAATAATTTAAGAATTTTTTATCATCAAAGTATTTGTTTTCATATAAATATTTTATATATTCTATATTGCTTAACGATTGTACAAATTCCAATTCGCATTCAAATCTTAATTTATTTTCAAACGAGCTTTCTTTAAAATTTTTATATAAAATTAATAATTTTTTATTTTCTTCCTTGTTTAATATTTCTGTTATTTTATTTTCCATTTTACATATAAGGAAAAGAAGAAGGAAAAAAAAATTATATATATAAATATATATATAAATATTTACTTAATAAAGAATTAAAATTAATAAAAATTCCAAAAAAATAATATTATATTTTTATATGTAAAAATACGTTTTTTTTATTTACGAAATTTTTATAAAATATTTTTTCATATATGAAATACATATGAATTATTTTAATTTAAAATGATTTCATATTTTAGTTAAAAATAAGAAAAAAAAAAAAATAAAAATATATTTAATTTATCACACAAAATATATATATTCGTAACCTTAATTTTTTTTTTTTCATTTTTGGTATTTTATATTTTTAAAAAAAATAAAATATATATATATGATTTTATTTTTCCTAAATATATATAGATATATTAAAAAAAGATAAAAGATGTAAAAAAATAAAATTATAAAAAAAAAGAATAAACGATGAACTTGAAATTAAAAACAAATAACATTTAAAAAAAAAAATACATATTAAAGGAAAAAATGGACAATGAATATTCTTTTGATAATGTTAGTTACATTATAGGTTTTTTTCTTTTAATCTTTTGTTTTATTCTACCATTATCCCTAACCGTAATAATAAAAAAAAAAAAAAAAAAAAAAAAATTATAATAAAAATAAATATGGAATAATAATATACTTAATATTGTATATATATATATATATTATTATTATTATTATTATTTAAAAGTTATATTGTAATTTTTATATATTTCATAAATATTCATGTTGCTTATTTTTTTTTTTACTATTAGGTATGGAAACATAGAAAAACATGTTTTGAAATTCTTTTTTAACAGATTCCTTTTTTTTTTCTTTTTTTTCGTCTAATATACAATTTACTTTTTTATAAAATTGTAAAATTACAAAAAAATTTACAATTATCCTTTTTGGTTTAATTTTTTTTTTTTTTTTTTTTTGTGCATTAACAAAAGAATGGGGAAAAATTTATAATAAATATACAAATTATTAAGAATATTTTTCAGATTAGATAAATGAAAAATTATTAGAAAGTTATTGTATTTATTTTTTAAAGAATAGGATATATATATATATATATTTTTTTTTTTCTTTATTAATGAAAAATTTATTAATATTATATATATATATAAAAAAATGTAGAGAATATAGGTTAAAAATTGTTGAAAAAATTCTTTCATTTTAGATTAAAAGACATATAAAATACATAAAATAATTTTAGGAAAAATTAGGAGTTATACAAAATTAATTATAAAAGTTTTATAAATATGTATTTAAATAAAATAGATGAATCATAAAAAAGAAGTAAAAAGTACGAAAAATATGTAAAAAAAGTGGTGAAATATATATATATATGTATTCATATTATAAATTAAAAATAAAATGCGTACAAAAAATTATAGAAGGAACTATATATAATGTGTGTTTTATTTTATACTATTTTTATTAAATTTTTTTGAGTAATATAAGGATGCCTATGAATGCAAATATATATAAACATTTATGTATTACAAAATATATTTTATTTTTTACTTTAAAAAAAAAAAAAAAATAATTTTTTTAAAGGACTTAAAAATTTTTAGATATATTTGAAATTAACTTTTATTTTTTTTTATATTTATCTTATATCTTTCTACACCTCTAAAAATAAATTAAACATTCTTATGATATAAAAAATTAAATTATATGTATATATATTTAAAAAAATAAAATAAATAATAACCTGATTACTCATGTAAAGTTACAAACATTTATTAAATAAGCAAATAAGAGAAAAATTAAAATTAAATAAATTCGTAAATAAAAAATTAATATGCTGCATATCTGTTAAATGGATTTTGATTTCTATTATAATAATTATAATTGAAACTATTCATCATTTTATTGTTTCTATTATTTCTTATCTTATTTCTATTCTTATTTCTATTATACATATTTGATCTATAATGAGCTGCAGCTATTCCAAACGTATCAACATCAAGCATCCTTAATTTTTCTCTATCAACTTTTTCATCTTTTCCTTGCTGCTTGTCTAATGTTTCACAGCTAATATTATCAAAGAAGCTTGCGTTTTTGTCATACCCTCCTACTTGAAGGTTGTTATTTAATGATATGGAATCCTTATTTTTTTCATCTAATATATTATTTTTATCAAATTTTAAGTTATTAGTACTAAAATCAAAATCTGGACTAAATTTACTTTTTAATGCAGGATTTGGTTGTGATTCTAATTCTCCAATTACATATGGGGTTCTTTCATAACTTCTGAAGTTTTTAAATTTAAAATTATTAAAGTTTCTATTATTATTATTATTATTATTATAATAAAAATTATAATGATTTCTATTATAAAACCTTCTATTATTTAAATTTAAATTTCTTTCGTTAGATGGTATTATATTACTGGGAACCTTTAATGATTTATTTATATTTACATTATTATTATAATTTAAATTCTCAGTTAAATTATTTTTAGAAGAAGGTGCAATATTCATTGAAACTATAGCTGGATCATCTGGTATATTTTTAGCAGGTTCACTAACCGTTACATCTTTAATATCTTTCCCTCTAAAAATTATAAAATCATAAATTTCATTAGAAGGGGGAATATCTGGTTGTCTTCTTCCTTCTGTTCCAAATGAGCGAACATTTTGTAATGCAACCGTAGATTCATGTGTGTTGATAGTATAGAGAATTCCTTCATATCTAATTTCAGAATTTGAAATTAAAGAAATTTTACTTCCTATATATGGCAAAGTGGATACAGATGACATTTTTTTTTCTTTTCTTTAAATGTATATATATATATATATATATATATATATATATATATATATGTTCCTATATATATATATATAAATATATATATATGTTCCTATATATATATATATATAAATATATATATATATATAATTAAAAACAAAATAATAAAAAAAACTTACAAAAAATGAAAAAAAACAAATTCTTAAAATTAAAATTTTATTTACTAAAAATAACTATCGAATTTTACGAAAAATAGAAACATAAAAAAATATAAATTAAAATAAAGTAAAATAAAATATAATATAAAACATAAAAAAAAATTTAAATGAAATTACATAAAAAAATGATATAAAAGAAAAATAATAGGATGAAATTATATTTAAAAAAAAAAAAAAAAAAATAGAATAAAATAAAAAAGAAAAGGAAAAAAAAGAAGAGAAATAAAAAAATAAAAAAAAAAATATGAAAGAAAATGAAAGAAAAGGAAAGAAAAAATAAATGGTTAAAATAAAAATATAATGTTATAACAAAAATTACATAAAGAAAAATTTAACACTTTCATAAAAGTTACACGGAAATATAAATTATCCGTTAATTAATTTTTTTTTTTTTTTTTTAAGGAAAAAATATATAAATATAAATAAAATTAAATAAAATTAAATAAAAATATAAAATTTTCTTCTTAAATAAAATTGCTTTAATTTATAGATGTATTCTAAAATCATATTTAATATGTTACTTTCATTTCCTTTTTTTTCTTCTTTTTAATCTTAAAAATATAGCATATATATATATATATTTAAAAAATATAAAAAGATAAGAAAATATAAAATAAATTATAAAAATGCTATATGAATAAACATTAAACAATTTTTTACACTAAAAAAAAAAAAAAAAAAATAAAAATAATATATATATATATTCATATAATAATTTATCTACAAAGAAAAAATTAAGTGTTCAGAATATTATTTTGTAAAATTATTAAACTGTTATTTTTTTTTTTTTTAAACATGTAAAGATTCATATATAATTAAATAAAAAAAAAAAAAGGATATTATACAATATATAGTTTGTTAAATTTCGCATATATACTCCTGTTTCAATTTACATGAACATATTAAAATATTATATATTTCTCATTTCTTATAAATAAATAATTATTTAATACATGGATATATATATATGTATATTTATTAATACCTGTGGTTTTTATTATTTATCTATATATATGTAAATTTTTATAATAATATTTACATACACGTAGTAAAGCCTTTTAACACGAAAAAAGAAAAGAAAATAAATAGACAGTTTATTTAAAATTATTGTAACATTAATTTGAATGTATATCACATTATCATTTACAAGCTAAAAATACTTATATTTAAAACTTCTTTTTTGTTATGAAATTATGCATGTTTTTTATTTTAAGGAAAATGTGAATAAGAATTTATTAATCATCATAAATATATATATGTATATATATTTATTTGTTTATTTATTTGTATATGTATTAAAATAAGTATATGGGAACAAATATTTTTTCATATTTATTTTAATTTTTCTTATTATTTGTAATTATATTTGCCATGAGGGAATAAAAAAAAAATTTACATTTATTTTTGTATATTACTAAAGAAATATCAAATATCAAAAAAAAAAAAAAAAAATATATGAAAATCAGTTACTCAAGCAAATTTTGTTTTTTTTTGTATATTTTTAATATATATAAAAAAAAAAAAAAAAAAATTTTAAATTATATAATACACTTCTTTGTTTTCATAAATAAATATGCTTTTTCTTTTTGTATATATGGTGTATTTTTTATATTATATACACGACATATGTATATAAATATATAAATGAATAAAAATTTATTGCTCTATTTGATTAAAGTATATGTATTTTTATGTCTATATGAGATCAACATAAGTTATTTGTAAATATATAAAGTAAAAAATTTAAATAAAAATAATTGAAATGTTAATTATAATTTCAAATTACTTTAAATTATTATTTTAAAATGATAATATAGTGTAATTAATTGATAAGAATTTTAAAAAAGCTTGTATTAAATTATTATAGTAAATAAAAAAAAAAAAAAAAGGAAATATAGAATTATTAATTTTTATCTTTTAAAAAAAAAAAAAAAAAAATGTATACTATGGAAATATAATATTAAATTTTTATTAAAAAAAAAAAAAAATTGTTATGTACATACAAAAAAACTCTTAATTCAGAAATATCAAATAAATGTATGCAAAACTTTATAAATTTTTATTTTAAATAGATGATTTTTACAAATTTTATTCATTTAAAAAAAAAAAAAAAATAAAGATAAAATAGAAAATAATCTATATACTGATCCTTTTAGTAAAAAAATTTTATTTCTTTATTGTGTAAATAACTACTGTTTTTAAATATCTTTTAATATACTTATTATTTATGATTTTCTTACAATATTATGTAAAGATCCCATAAATGTTACACAAAACTTAAATTCATTTTATGTTAGTTTAAAGTTTATACTTTTTTTTTCTTAGATTATTTTATAAATGTGAAAATATTTTTTGTTTTTTTTCATTATATTTTTAAAAAAAAAAAAAATAAAATAATAACAAAATATTTGATATATATAAATTCTAAGGAAGGAAATACGAAATATTAATATTTTAATACATATATAAAATATATAATTTATATTTAATATGTTTTATTATCTATTCCTTTTAATACAACTCAATAATTTGATATTTTCATAAAGGAATTTCAAAACTTATATGAAATATATATATATATATATATATATATATATATATATATATATATATATATATGTATTTATAATATAATAACCAATAAAGTTAAAATAAGAAATATATAATAATCTAAGAAATTAAACAAAATGTGATTGAATTGCTTATATAAATGTCAAAATTTTTCTAACATAAAATACTAAAATTTTATAAAATTAATATATTTCTAAAAATTTAATTTATACTATATGAAAAGAATACTTTTTTGTTTAAGCTGATTTATTAAAAAAAATAAAATGACACATTATATTAAATATAAACTATTTTCAATTGTATAAAAGTTTTTTTTTTTTTTCTTTTTAGCTCATATAAAGATAAAGAAGTATGAAAAAAAAAAAAATAAATTCCTTGAATTTGTTTATATTTCATTTCAGCATTTTTTTTTTATAAAAAAACATTTTTATTAAAAAAAAAAAAAAGGAAAAAAGCATATATTTTATTTATGATATATAAACACAACAATATCTTTTTTTTATATAATCTATTTTATTTAAAAAAAAAAAAAAAAAAACCTGTCTATTCAACTTGCTCATTCTTTTGGTTTTGATCATTAGATTGACTTGTTTCATTTTGATCACCTGTCTGATTTTGTTCATTTTGTGCTTCATTATTTATTTTAGTAAGATATGAAACTAGTTCTAAAGGTGAAATTTCATCCCATGGTTTATCTTTACCAACAATTGCAAGTGAAGTATTATCAACAGTCAATTCATTCTCACTGGAAAGAGAAGATTTTAATGCCTTTAAACAATGTAAAATTAAATCGTCTAAGTTAGATTCTTCAAATAAATGGACATTTTTTTCTAAATAAGTTTTAGATGCATGTGATCTAGCACCAAAAGATATAGCAATATACTCAAAGTAGGATCCATTTGGTTTTGTTTCAAAAATAAAAGGTTCCTTATCATATCCTGCTATTATTAAGCCTACTCCAAAAGCTCTTCTACTACTTTTTTGTGTATTTCTTTGATATTTATCAGCCACTTTTTTCACTAATTTTTCTATATTTATATTTTCATCATATAAAAATTTATGAGTTAAACATTCATTTCTCATAAATTTTGTTAAAACTTTTGCATCAGAAGTTATTCCGCTCATTGTTACTCCTATATAATCATCAATTTTAAATAATTTTTCTTGATGATATGATAATTTACTAATACATTTTTTTAATCCACAAACTACCTATAAAAAATATGTATATAGTAGTGGTTATATTAAAAGTAAAAATGATTTTAATCATATAGAGTAACTTTTAAGGAACTCTTTACAAATTTATATTCTTTTAAAATAATTGTTCGTTAATACAAAAAAAAAAAAAAAAAAAAAAGAATAACAAAAAAATCAATAAATTTTTAAAACATAATTAAAAGTAAATTCAATTTTTAACCACAAAATCTTTTGATTTTATTGCTACAGCGCAAGTTCCTTGTTTTATAGCTTCATTTGCATATTCTATTTGATATAATCTACCTAAAAAAAAATATAAGTATATATATATATATATATATATAATACTTTTTTTTTATATAACAATTTTTAATTTATTACCTTCAGGAGAATAAATAATATTGTCTGTATCATATAAATTTCTGTACATTTTATTATTTTATTTTATTAAAGTAAATGTATACATATATATATGATTTTTTTTTTTTTTTTTCTTTTCCTTTTTCCGTTTTACTTCCTTTCTATTTTTCTTTTTTTCTTTTATTTTTTTTCAATTATATATTTTTTTGTTTACATAAAAAACTATTTTTTTAATTCAAGTTTATAATAAGGAAATCAAAGAAAAAAAAAAAAAGAAAATTTTTGTATAATTTTTAATAATTATTTTTTAGTTTCATAAATAGTATATTTAATTTGTAATTATTTTTAATAAAAAAAATATTAGCATTTGATTCTGTTCAATTATTTTTTCTTATTTATATAAAATTACCATACTATATGAATGTATTCTTTTTTTATTTATTTTTTTTTTAAAAAAAAATAATTTAAAATATTGTTATAAATTTATATATATATATATATATATATATAAATTTATATATATATATTTTTTTTTTTAATTAATACAATTCTTTGAATAAAAGTTGAATTTCTTTATATAAAGTATAAAATGAATTTCAGGTTAAATTTATTTTTTTTATGACACTTAAAAAAAAATAGAAACACTTTTCGAGTAATATTATTGTATTTGTTTTTTCTATTCTCCGCTTTTTTTATATATATCTTAATAATTTGTTTTTATATCACTTTTTATTATTTTTCTACCTTTTTTATATTTCTTTTTTTTTTTTTTTTTTTTTTGTGTATAATTGTAATTTTGCATCTTCTATTTTGTTACTTATTCTAATAATTATTTTTTTTAATAAAAAAATAAAAAAAAAAAAAAATAATGTTTATATAAATATATATATTTGTACAAACTTTTAGATAGTATGAGAAGAAAACCAGTTATTTGTTGTATGCTAATTTTTTTTTATTTTTGTACAAAAAAAAAATTTACTCTTTTCTAAATATTTTGTTTTAATTTTTTTATTTTTTTTTTTTTTTTTCACATAATCTTTTAAACTAAATACTTGATTTAACATATTAAAAATGTCTATATATGTATATAAATTAATACATAATATAAAACTTTTGTTTTAACTTCTTAACTTATGTGATTTATTTTTTTTTGTACATTATATCCATTTTTAATTAAAACAAAATTTTTAATGATATTTTATATAGAATTTCATCGAAAAATATATTGTTATTTTTAATAAAGATAAAAGAAATGTATTTTTTAAATAATTTTTCTGACAAAAATGATTTTAAATTGGAATTTAGAAAACAATTAGATAAAAAAATAAATGAATATATAAAAAATAAAATAATTTCAGAGGAATTATTACAAGAAGAAAAACATACTTTTAAAAATATTCACATAAAATTTAACAAAGAATTAATAAAAAATTTTAATGAAAACTTTCTTTTAGATATATTGAATATTAACAATAAATTAAAATTATGTTATGATGTAAAATATAATATTATATATAGTGTTTTATTAAAAAGAAAATATATAAAAAATAATAGTAGCAAATATATAAAAGTTACTAACAATATATATAAAATAAAAAAAAAAAACATATCCTATTTTATAAATGAATTTCTTTTAATAAAATGTATACATTCAGGAGAATATGGAAGTATATATTATTGTAAAAATGTTTTAGAAAATAAAAAATATTGTTTGAAAGTTTTTCACTTAGAATTATGCTTAAAAAAAAATTGTCCTTATTATATTAATAATGAAGTTTATTTAACTAATTATTTTCATAAAATATTAAATGAAATTTTCTTTTTAAATTATTTGGAGAATAAAAACATAATTAAGATTAAAAACATATTATTTGACAAAAAAAAAAAAATTTTATTTCTTATATTCCCATATGTGAAATATCAATCCATGTATTATAAAAATAAGTACGGTCTTTATTCCATTTATAAAAAAGTAGTAAGATTTAACAAATACGTAAAGATATTTCTATATTCAGAAAAATTTATTCGTTTATTATTTTTAAATATTTATAATACCCTTACTTATTTATTAGAAAAAAATGTAGCATATCTAGACTTAAAACCAGATAACCTACTTTTAACTACAAGATTAAAAAAGGAAATTATTCCTTTCACATTAAAATTAAAAAAAAAGAAGAAAAAAAAATATATTAAAGAAAATTCGTTAGAAAAAAATATAGAATTACAAAAATTAGAATTAAATATCTGTAAAAAATTAAACAAAAATCAAAATAAATATGATAAAACGATTATTTACAATAACGATTTTATTTCTAGAAAAAAAAAAAAAAAAAATTCTTGTTTTTTTAAAAAATTAAATTTAAAGAAATTGAAAAATAAGAAAATTAAATATATATATGACATTAATTTATCTACATGTTTTTTATATGATAAAAACGTGAAAAGAATTTTTTTTGTAGAAAACAAGTTAGTTGATATTTTTTTTTCATCTAACGATTCTAATGTATTTATTCAAACGTTTATTCAAAAAAGTAAAAATTCACAAATTCTGAACTTGAGTAAAGAGGCTAGATATAAAAAAAATAAAAGAAATATAAAAAAGAAAATTAAAAAAGGAAATGAATGTTTAAACAAATATAACATAAACAAAATAAGAAATCTGTCTATTTTTAAATATAATAAGAAAAATGATATTAATTTTTTAAAATTTTATTGGTTATATTTTAATGAAGAGAGGAAATTTAATGATATTTTATTTTATGTAGATATATATTTTATAAATAAATATTTGTATAAAAAAAATCATATATCAATAATGAATCAAAAGATGAAAATAAACAATGAAATGAGTAATCAAGAAACTGAAAAAAAAATCAATAGTGAAAATAATCAAAAAAAAATAAATAATTGTGATAATGAAATAGGGATACATAAAAAAAACAAAGAAGGAGAATTTCTTTATCCTAATGATGAAATTAATAAAAGGAACCTTATGCAATTAGTAGATTTTGATACATGTGCTTTCATTCTAAATAATAATAATTCATATACTGAAGGAACAAATATTTTTAATTCCTTTGAGTGTTTATTTAATTTTACTAACAAAAACATTCAATTTTCAAAAAAGTTATCTTACAACTTTGGTTCGGTTTTATATACATTCTTATATGGAAGAACACCATATTAGTAATAGTTTAATATTTTTAATACATATATTCATAATCTTTTTTTAAATCATAAATATTATATTTGTGAAAATTTTTATAAATATTTTTTTTTTTATAATAGTGGAGAAGATATATTTGAAATTTATGATAATATGAAAAAAAACAAGTTAATATTCCCAAAATATAGGAAAGTTAATAAAGTTTTAAAAAATTTATTAAGGTATACTTACATTAAAAAAAAAAAAAAAAAAAAAAAAAAAAAAAAAATTAAACCAATTTATTTTTAATTTTAAAATTATTTTAACCTTTTTTTTATTTTTTAGAAAATTACTAAATAATAATCCTGATAATAGAATGCAATTTAAAATCATAAAACAACATAAGTGGTTTACAAATATTAAATAAGTACAATCAATGAAAAAATAAAAAATAAATTCATACACAAATATATATATAAAAAAAAAAAAAGTAGTAATAATAAATCGAAATATAAAGAAATATAATTCAATTTTTTAAAATTATTTTTCACCGAATAAAATTTTGTATTTCTAATTTATTTTAATTTTTATTAAAATTACCAATTTATCATTTTCATTTTTATTTTCGATTTTTTTTTTTTTTGTGTGTATATTTCATTATAAATTGATTCTTTTTTTGAAATATTATTATAAATGATATTTTTGTTAGAATAATTTATCATCATCTCTATACTTTTTTTGTTATTAAATTGTTCTATTCCCTTTTTAAACTTTTTAATTGTTCATCATCAATATTCTATGAAAAAAAAAGGAAATTAAAATATGTAAATATATATGTATATATATATATATATATATATATATATATATATATATATATATATATATATATAAATAGTTATTTTTATTTTTTTATTCAAACCTTTTGGTGTTTTTGTGCTATCTGATTAATACATGAAATAAAAAAAATAATGATTACCAAAAAAAAAAATATATTAAATAAAAACATAAAATTTGTTTTTGATTTGCTTTTTTTCCCATATTTTAGTATTGAAATTTTTTCATCTATATATTTTTCAAGAAATGATACATCTCTCAAATTTTTAGAAAATATGTGAATTGGTAAAAAAGAGAAACATTTTTGTAAAATTTTTAATTGCAAATCCTTGTAATTATTTGAAAATAAAAAAATTAAAAAAAAGCATTGAAAAATTGTTTTCACTACAGCTTTTCCTAAAACAAGTGGAATAAAAAATTTTTCAAATGGCATCAAAAAATGTCCGCAACAAATTCCACATAAATCAAACATAACTAAAAAAAAAAAAAAAAAAAAAATATTAAAACAGTGGGAGAAAAAATATTAAAATAATGGGAAAAAAAATATTAAAACAATGGGAAAAAAAATATTAAAACAATGGGAAAAAAAATATTAAAATAATGGGAGAAAAAATATTAAAATAATAGGAAAAAAAATATTAAAATAATAATAAAATATATATATATATATATATATAACCATTTGGCCAACAAGATAAAAGGAAAACAGAAATTGCCCCATATTTTTTAATAAAATTTATCATCCATATTTTCATAGATGTAATTATGTTTTTTTTTCCTTCCTTTATATCTTTTTCAAATTCTTCATAATCATCATCGCTCAATTTTGTCTATAATTAAAATAACACAGAAAATATATAAATAAAAAAATTTTGAAGTTATTTTATTTTTATTTTTATTTTTTCTTTTTTTTATCAAATTATATTATTTCTACAATATTTATTTTAAAAAAAATTCTTTCATTTTATTGAAAATTTATATTATTTTTTACTTTAGAAGCATAATATGAAGTTAAATAGGGAGGTAATTCTCCTAGTGCAGTTCCTAATCCCCATATAAAACAGTACGGATATATTTTAAAAAATAATCTTGATAAAGTTATGTTTCCATCATCTCTTCCTAAACACTTTTTAAAAAAATAATGCTCATGGATTTTATAATATTCAATATAGTAATTCAATTAGTAATACTACTAAGAGTATTAAATAACAACATATTTTATATGAATAAATATAATTATTACATTATTTTTCTTTTTTTCCTTTATTTTTTTTATACCTCTCCTAATTTTAATTTATTTCTTTATTTTATTATTACCTCAAAATAATTTCCTGAAGTTAATATAGATCTCCACATATTTAATCTTGAATCAAAATTTAGTGAGTTGCAATATTCTGAAGTAGAACAAATAAAATAAATATGGGGAAATAAAAATAATACTCCTGAATGCATACCACATCCTAAACCTATACTACTTAATATTCCTAATGATAACCACCATATGAAAACTTCTATATATATTATAAAATTATTTAAGTGTTCATATCTAGTTCTTAATTTAAATAAAAGCAATATAACTGATAAAAGTGCTAATATTATTTTATTATATTTTTTATTTTTTGTGTATAACTTTAAAAATATATTTTTCAATTCTAAACAAAATAAATTAAAAGTTTTTATCGGGTGGTAATATAAATTTATATTTTTCCTCTTCAAATATAACTCCTTTTTTTTAGCATCATATGTATCCATCTTTATATATATATATATATTATATATTATATATATATATATACATGTATATATAAAAAAAAAAAATAAAAGTAAAATAAAATAAAAATAGAATATCTATACAAAAAAAAAAAAAAAAAAAAAAAAAAAAAAATTATATAAATAAGTTATTATCTTTCTTTTTTATGTTTTAATATTATTTAAAAAAAAAAAAAAAAATATACATATATATATATATACATATATATAAAGAAATATCATATTTATTATTCTGTTTTTCTATTTTAAAATTGGAAAATAATATATATGTATATATATATATGGGTATCTATGTGAATATAAAACAAATACTAAAAATTTTCTTAACTTTTTATTATATAAATTTTAAAACAAATATATAATTATTATTAATTAATTCTTTACTAAAGATTGTATTAAAAAAAAAAAAAAAAATATATTCTTTAGAAGTCTTGTAAATACTTAAGAAATATTTAAAAAATACAAAAAAATAATAAAAATAAAATGAATTGAAAAAAATTTGCACGTAGTTAATATAAGATATAATAAATGAATTAAAGAAAAAATTCTGTTAATAAAAATCATAAAAATTAAAAATTAAAAATGAGAATTAAAAAAAAATATAAAATTAATATTTTATAAAGTATTTTTCAAAATACTATATTTTTCATAGAATAAATTTTTATTCTTTTTTTTTTAATGTGTTACAATGTAGTAGAGAAAAAATAAATTCTTATTTATTTCATTTTTTCATGCATTTATGCTTAATACATTAATTACCTTAATATTCTGTTAGTTATAATTAATTTTTTTTTTTTTTTTTTTTTTTTTTTTAACCATTTAAGAATAAGAAACAAAATGAAAACGCCAAATAAGCATAATTTTTATTATATTCACCAAAATTTAAATAATTATTTCATACATAATATAAAAGATACATTATTTAAAATAAAAAAAAAAAAAAAAAAGAAAAGCATAAATATATATATTTAAAAGATAATTATGCATATTTTAAAAATAATATATACATTTTTTTTTTTTTTTTTTTTCAATTTCATTATTAACAAGGGAATTTTTCAAATTACTTATAAGTGATACATTTACATATTTTTTTTTTTTTTAAGTTCAAAATTTATGATATTCCCAAAGGATTAGAAAAAAAAAAAAAAATTAAAAATAACAAAACAACGTAATGTGGATTTACATATAAGTAATATGAAAATAAATTTATAGTTTTTAAAGAATAAAAAAAAATTATGATTTGAAAAAACTTCATAAAATAATGAAAAATTGAAAAAGTATAGGAAATTTTTTTTTTTTTAGAATTAATTAAAAAATAAAGTCTCTTTAAAAATAAAATGATAATACTTCTAAATTAAAAAAATTCTTGTAATTAGAAAAAACATTGATTTAAAAAAAAATAAAAATAATAAAAATAAAAAAATTTTTTTTTTTTGATATAAAAAAAATCATTTTAAATAAAAATATAAAAATTAAAAAAAAAAAAAAAAAATTAATAGTTGAAAAATATAATAAAATAAAATGGCAAAAGTAGTAGTTAAGGAAAGTATATTTGATGAAAATGTTGATGTAAATGATCAAGATATTATGAAAAAAAGGTTAGAATTTCTAGAAAATGAAATGATAATGCCACCTAATAGCATAAAAACTATTATAGATAAAACAGCTGTTTTTGTAAAAAAAAATGGGAAAATATTTGAACAGAAAATATATAAAGAAAAAGAAAAACAATTTAATTTCATAAATTCAAGTCATCCTTATTTTTTTTACTACCAGTACAAGTTACATGAATTATTCTTAGGTTTAGAAGAAAAAAATATAATACCTAAAGCTATTATAGAGATAAAGAAAAGAGAAGATTTAAATAAAGTAAGTAATAATGAGCACATATTAAAAATATGTGATTTTATAAAGGAAGACAATAAAAATGAAAAAAATAAAATTATATACTCAATAAACGATGAAATAAGGGATGAAAATACATTAGATCAAAATGATAAAATTGAAATAAAGGAAGATATATTTACTATCATATCTCCATTTATTAGTTCAGTTGATATTGATTTAATTAAAACAACAGCATTATTTGTTGCAAGAAATGGAAATAAATTTTTAAATGAACTTATAGAAAGAGAAAAAAATAATAATCAATATGATTTTTTGAGAGCAAATAATTTATACTTTAATTTTTTTTCTAAACTTATTGATATATATATAAAATGTCTGCTTCCAAGTAATGATATAATTGATAAAATAAAAAAATACTCAGATAATAAAAGTGATATTCTGAATTATTGTTATAATTTATATAATCATAATATGAAAAAAAAAGAGGAAGAAGAAAGAAAAATCGAAGAAAAAACAAAGGGAGATACCTACTATGATTGGATAACATTTACAGTTGTAGAAACGATAAATTTTGATGAAAATATAGAAAATCTTCCTCAATCAATTGATTTTAATAATGTAGAGAATTATGTTTTAAATCAATTATTTGATACAGATAATAAATATACAAATATAGAAAAAATAAACAACATTTCTTATCATATGATGAATTCAAAAAAAGCAATAGATGATGAAGATGAAGATGAAAAAGAAGAGGAATACCAACAAATAAATAAAATAAGTGATGAATATTATAATGGAAAATTAGAAGAATCAATAAATACATTGGAAAATGATACTATTTCAAGTATTAATGACAAAGAAAAGCAAAAAGTTAATAAAATTAATGAACTTGATAAAAATATAGGAGAAAATAAATTACTAATTAAAGAAGAAATTATAGATGATGAAGAAACTGAAGAAAAAATCATTGTTATAAAAAATTATGAAAAATCAAAGAAACATAAGATAAATAATGAAAATATGCATTTATGCCCTATTACCAATCAACCAATTGATATAAATGATATGACAAAACATTTAAAAACATTATTATTAGATCCTCAGTGGAAAGAACAAAAAGATAAATTATATGAAAAAGCAAAAAAAGAAGCATCCTTTTCACCTCTTGAAGATATTGAAGGAAACTTATCTCTTTTTGTTATTAATAGACCTGATATTTTTGGTTCAATTGATGAAGAAATCAATGAACACACATCAAATGAAAATAAAAAAAACTTTAAGAATCCTAACATGAATAAAAATGAAGAAGATGTATATAGTTATATTCATAATATTTACAACAAAATCTTACCAGGTCCTTCAATGGCTCATTATCCTCAAAATGAAGAAATAGAAAAAAGTAGTTCTTATGATAATACAAATAAAAAACAAAAAAAATGTTAACAATTAAAAATAAAAACATCTTTATGGATTAAAAAATTATGAATAAAAATCATTTAATTAACGAATTAATAGTAGTAAATGAAAAAAAAAAAACAATTTATAAAATTTAAAAAAAAAAAAAAAAACATTTTTTTTACAATCAAAGAAATGAAAAAAGATGTCTTCATAGCACTTTAGTTTAAATAAAAAAAATGCTTTTTTTTTTTTTTTTTTTTTGTTCAATTCAAATATTTTTTTTTTTTCTTTCTTATTCAATTTTAACTTTTTTTAAATATATATAATTGCATATTTTTTTTTTTTTTTTTTTTTTNATTTGGGGAAACATATGACATTCATAGTGTAAATTCTAACAAATATGAGAAAAAAAAAAATCCTTTTTTATTTCCTGATTATTTAATAGTAACATTTGAGTAATCTTTTTTTTTTTTTTTTTTTTTTTTTTTTTTTAAATTAAAACTTTTTATTTCAAACAACTATTATTTTTTTTTTTTTGTCTTTTTATAAAGTATTAAAAATTTTTAATTAATCATTTTTTTGTTGATAAATTGCTTTTAAATAAAAATATATCTTTTCACCATCGGCAATATTTATGCAATATTTTTTAGTTATATCACTTTTACTTATTGGTCTGTATTAAAAAAAGAAAGTATACACACACACATATATATATATATATATATATATATTATAAAGAAAAAAAAAAAAAAAAAAAAAAAAAAAAA